AGGGAGTTTGGCCCTGAACACGCAGAGGAGATTGGCGATATTCTTATGGAGCACTCTCGTCTGGTTGGGATGCGTCGATATGAGCACATTGACCCGGCTACGTTTTCAACCACTGCTTATCACGAAGCCGAACGGGTCCTCTCACGCTGGGACTACTTGGCGAGTCGCGTCAACAATGTCACTGCACTTCTCCCGGCTGAGACTAAACCCGCATTCTTTCAACTGGTCGGTCAACCGGTCCTCTCAGGGGCAACATTTGTCTCGGTGGCCATCAAGACAGCCTTCAACCTTCGATATGCTCGCGAAAGAAGAAACTCGGCCAACCTCCTTGCTTCCAGCGTTCTGGAGCACTTCGAAACCTCCTTTGACCTCATAGAAGAATGGGACAACATGCTCGACGGAAAGTGGGCGGACATGATGTCCCAAGCGGTCTACGACGCAGTCGAAGAACCCAAAATGTGGGCCAACCCATCAAGAGACATTCTTTCCAACCTCTCCTATGTCCAAATCCGACAAAACATGCAGTTCTCTCTCGGCAACCTCGGTCTCTACGCCGAAGGTTCCTCTTCCCCTGCTGAACAAGGCCGCTGGGCCGAGTCAGTCGACGCCAGCATGCCCACCACCAACTTTGCACCTCTACTCCCCCAACTTGACCCCTTTGCCGCACTGCAGGAGAGGATAGTGGAGGTTTTCCACAGAGGCGATCATCGCGTCCCTCTCAACTGGACTCTTGACCCTTGGGAGGAAGACTGGCTGCACATCACCCCTACAGGCGGCACGTTGAACTCGACCCATCCAGACGACAAAATCGTCCTTTCCATCCCCGACTGGTCAAAAGTCCCGGTTGAGTTTAACAAAATAGTTTTCATCGGAGTCCGCTCGACACCGGCACGATACCCCTATTTTGATCAAATCCGGCTTCCGGTCCTGAACTTTGTTCCCCCAAACACGTTTGAGGGATACCCAGAGTCATCGGGGGGTTACATCTCCATCGAGGCCCCTCATTTCTCCCCTAACTTCTCCACCCCAAACACCTCCGACATTCACTTCCTGGCTATCCGCAACCTAGGCACGAGATCAAACACCGGCTCTCTTGCCCTCCGGCCTTTCTTGTCTGCTAGGGGAGATGTTCCCAAGGCGAAAGAAGTGAAGGCTGTATATCCCATCTATTTATTTTCTGACAGCCCCCCGAGCGTGAAACACAATGTTACTGCAACGGTGTTTATCAACGCAGGGTTGGACACCGACCCGAGGCTCAAGATGGAGTTCTCGCTCACGTTGGATGATCAGCCGGCGAGGTTTCAGAGGGTGTTGGGGGATTATGTCAAGAATCCGCATGCGGGGGATATACCGCCTGAGTGGTTGCCGCACGTGGCTGATCAGGTGTGGACAAAAAAGGTTAATTTAGGGGAGGTGGGGGAGGGGAGGCACGAGGTTGTTTGGAGAGTGAATTCGCCAGAGGTGTATTTGGAGAAGATTGTGGTTGATGTTAGGGGGGTGGTGCAGGATAGTTATCTGGGACCAGGGGAGACGAGGTGGGTGGATGCGACGGAGGTTATGGGGGGGGAGAGAAGGGGGAGGGGGAAGAGGTGGAGGGGGAAGGGGAAGAGGGGGTGGAGGAGTAGGATGGGGGTGGGAGGGTTGTGGATGTGAGGGTTGGTTTACCCCTGAGCTCAATTCCTGAGCTTTACCCCTGAGTGCAAGGTCAATATTGACATGACATGCTTGAAGCAAAACAGACTCTGTGCCCTTCCCAAAATGCACAACTGTGCGCGTTGGTGCCAGTTGCAATTGCTCTTTGTCTCGCAACAGAGTTTTCTGTGTTTCGATTGATATCGCGAGACTTCATTCCAGCCCTGTTGTTAACAATTTAACAATTGCCCCACCCTTTGTGACTGCGAGCTTCTTTGAGGCCGAGTCTGAATGCAGACACTTGAACTCGTCTCCCTTTGTGTAGCTAGAGGTCGAGAAGCTCGAACAAAAACACCGGCTCTTTGTTCACTACCAACTCGACGTTAATTTTTTCTTATCTCTAATAAATCCAACCACTGTTTATTTTCAACCCTCAAACCTCATGTAAGATACATTCAGTCATCATCGGACAAGTGATATTGAGTTGAGACATCGAAGTGAAAATGCCTGAAACTCCAGCACATCAATCCGGAAAGTTCGGGCCCACAGAGTCGACATCGGGATGGCGTGAAAAGAATCCAGACGACATTGATACGACCCCCGAGGATCAGAAGCCGGCGGCCGGAAGGCGTCGCCGATCAACTAGGAAGCGACCCTCCGGAATTCCAGCTGATAGTGACGACCCTGACAGCTCGCCGACCTACAACAGTCGCCAGGGTAGACCAGTACGGTACAGGCCACCTGCGAATCGAAGGCTGTTTTCGAGGCAGACGCCTAACCTCCCTATCGCCGGTGTTGGTATCACTCCCGGGCCCTCGACGGACTCACCACCTCAGACACCCGAGGAACAGGCTATTGCCGCTGGCAATAAACGACAAAGGGAACGGGGCTCGACGCCCCTTGCACCTCGTGCCAACAGACGACGCGTGGATGAGGCTGGCAGACAGACATACGATGACCCTACCTCGCCCCCTCGGGGTGGTACGGCCGCACCAGCTACGCCAACGCAATGGATTCATGATGATGATATGGATAAAGAGAGACAGGACTCGAATGAGGAGGAGCACCCGTCACCTAATGCAGCGCGGGCAGCAAGAAAGATTTTGAGACCTACGGGTACAAGAAATACCGCGGGGATTTTGGACAGGCAGGCCCTTTTGGCAAAGGCTCGGGAAGAACGCGAGAAGGTCAGTCAATTGACTAGCGCGTTTGGAGGCATGTCTGTCAACCGGATGGATTTAGACTGGCAGCCGGAGACATCTGCCAGACCTGACCCTCCTCGTGTGCCTGTCCAGCTCCCGCAGATTGACTGGGATGCTCCCATTGACCAGGAGCCAATGGTGATTGATGATGCGCCCCCGCCATTGGCCAAGATGCTGAGGTTGTGGCAGAAGGCGAAGGACAGGCTGGGCTTAAAGGACAGCCAAACTGAGAGAAGCCAGCAGCAGGTAGACGACGAGCTGACCCGGACTGGGACGGAGGAGCAACGATTTCAAAGCCAAAGCACGCCGGACCAGAGCACGAGCAGTGGAAGAACCTATCACCCGTACCGTCCGCTCGTGAACCAGGGAATCAACCGGCACTCTCCCCAAGCCAGCAGGAACAGGGCCTCTGCTGGAGGATATGCACCAGCACCCCCCTCTTCCTCTGCCAGCTCTAGCCAACCAGGACCATCCAGAAACCCTACCCTCCGGCGCATGACCGGCAATGCGAACCTGGCAGCCTCCTACCAATACAAAGCCCCAAGCCCTGACTGGGCCCAACGCCAGCGCCAGTCGTTTGTCATCGAAGAGAACAACGCGTCGGGAGTATCAAACCTCTACTACAACAAACCAGACCTCCACCGAACCGGCCACGTTAAAAGAATAAAGTTTGGCGCCGGGCATATCTTTAGCGGCCGGTTCCGGAGACACGGCGGAGAGAACTTCATCATGGCGTTCCCGTATGACATCCGCTTTTTGATCTACAAGGAGCTCTTGACCTGTCATGCCAGGCTGATCAAGCTTGGTGCCGGCGCGCCGTTGATTACAGTAGGCATGGACATCCCGCCGTGTGACAACCAGATCATGTTTACTTCCAAGACGATCCATCTCGAGACCTTTAGAATTTTCTACGGGATCAACACGTTTGAGATCAAGGTTAACTGGGAGCACTTTCTTGATCCGTTGCATTTCTTGCCGGCAGACTTTGGGCTTGCGGTGAGGAAGATCAACCTTGTGCACGACTTCAAGATCAACTCCAATTTGAGGGAGGTGCTCGCCAGGATGAATGATATACCCTGTTACCACTACCCCAGCGGCCCGTCAACGCGCATTTTGGATTTTAACAGTTGGGCACCTATTCTCCAGAGGTTGGATTACTTGCATGTTGAGTGGAAGGTGGAAACGTGGGTGCGGCACAGGTTGTATGCGGGTGCGGATTTGAACAAGACGAGACTGACAAAGAAGGATGGGTGGGAGGGGTGGGATGGGATTTGGTTCGCGATGCAGATGTACAAGACGACGCAGAAGGCGGGGAGCCAGAGGACGAGCAGTTACTTTTGTTACTGGGACAGCTGGATGGATCCGAGGTTTGGGATGGATCTGGGGTCGTATCATACTTGTGGTGCGAGGTGCAAGTATATGGAGGATTTCTTTGCCAAGTTGTGGGAGACGGATGTTGGGGCGGATTTCGATCGGAACGATTTGGTAAGGGAGGATCCCGACTCGGAGTTCTAAGCGCTGTTGGTTTATTGACGGTGGTAGTAAAATGTCGTAAAGTTTGATACAGATCTTCAATACTACTTTTGTGTTTATCAAGCTCATTGTATATTCCATGTTTGCTTCAGGGGTGAACTCAGGGGGTAAACATGGTGAGACAGACAGGGTTAGGGTTCGGCTGGTCATGTCAACTGCTCGATGTTGATCTTTCTGCCCTCCACAATCCACATCGTTTTTGACATATCAGACTTCATCAGAGTGAGATAAGAGACTTAATCAGAGCGTCAATGCCTTATCTCAACATCAAATCGGAAGGTGTGGTTGGGCAGTCGCACGCCATGAGCGGGGGTGCAACAAGCGCGCACGCAATTTTGAGGAGGGCTGACGATTGGGACGCCAGGGAGGGAGGAACGACGCCATTGCCCGACCGGCACCGACGCTCTTCTCCCTGTTGTCTTCCTTCTCCCCCAAATATGCCATCATCTGCCGCAATCATGGAGGGTAGTGGCGTTGCCTCACACTCTTCCTTGGTCGATACCATCTTTTCTATTTGTTCTATCTTTTGATGTATGTATGTACACGCCGGCATGACCACCACCAATCGAGCAGCCAAGACGTCACCTATAGCCCCCAAACGCCGTCAACGCCCAAAACCGACACGGATCGCCATTACGCCTTTTTCTGCATCGATCCCGTTCTATGCGCCCACGAAAAGGCAAACGCGAGCAACGCGAAGCCGCTCGAAGCCGCAAAGGCTATTCTCAGGGCGTCACAGTACAATGCCCTGACGGCCAGTTGTTGGGTGGGGGACAGCTCCCCAATAGCGAACAGCGACTTGCGCAGCCTCTCAACCAGCTGTGCCACCACACCACTTGTCAGTCACCTGCATCAAACCAACGTCGGGAACACCAAATACGAACCTCTTCACTGGCGTTGTCACCAAGAGCGCCGGGAAGGCCCGGCAACAACATGTTCTGGACGATGGCAGCCGTGACAGTCACGCCATAAATGGTCCCCATGGACCGAATCAGATACACCGTAGAGGTGGCAACAGCTTGTTCTGTGGACGGTTAGCAACTTAATCTTCTTCAGCCTTGTTGTATTTCTTACCTCTGTGCTCCCAGAAAGAGATGAAGCTAAACAGAACGCTGGGGTTGGTCAGACCAAGACCTAGATTAGCAGGTATCAAGTAGAAGAACTCCTTCCACCGAGCCCCCGTCGTGCCCATCGACAGCGCAAGAAGATTCCCAATGAGCATCATGGCCGTGCCCAGCCGAACGTTGTACGAGAGCTTAATGCCGCGCTGCATCGACCACCCGGCAATAACACCTCCAACTGGGGTCGCGAGTGCCGGGATCATGAGCCGGAGACCGGCCGCCGATGGAGAATCACCACGAACAGCCTGGAAATACAATGGGACCATAAACATGTACTGTTGGGCGAGCGTCAGCAAGTGTGCCAGATATTCGGGGAAAATGAGGACTCACAGCATACGAGGCCATGCCGGAGAATATGTTGGTCAGTTGAACCGCGATCGGCTGCCAACCCTTCAACATGCGAAGTGGGATCATGGGGATGGCCTTGGTGTTGGCTTCGACTTCCACGAACAGGAACAATAGTACGGTACTTCCGACCAGCGAAGAGATCACCGGAAAGCTAGCCCATGGGTACTCGTTGCCGCCAAGCGTCAAGCCCAGAAGCTGGAGGAGCAGTCCACCCACGAGAAACAGCGAGCCCGACAAATCCAGCCTTTTGATCGCCGAGTGAACACGTTGTGTGGTGGAGAGAGGGATTAGTTGAGGAACCATGCAGGCAGGATTCTCCAACACGAAATAACCCACCACGAGGGCGAAGAAAGAGACTGGAACCTGCAGCAGAAAGCACCATCTCCAGCCAATGGCTTGAGTGATCGAGCCTCCGAGCGAAGCGCCCAAGACTGCGCCAAAACCAACGAGGATATTTTGCATGGCCTGGTACATGCCGCGCTGTTTGAAGGGGATCATGTCGGAGTTGATGACAGTTGCTGGAGATAACGTCAGTAACTGTGTCTCGGGGTGCACGACCGCTCGAGCGTCTGAGAAAGGGGCACAAGACTCACCCATTGTGATCAGCCCACCGCCGCCAAAACCTGTCACAGCCCTCATGATATCTAGTGTCAAGATTGTCTGCGCCATGGAACAGCCAAAACACCCAATCATGAAGGTCAGGGTGGAGATGAAGAAGCAGATTCGCCGCCCAAACATATCAGAGAAGCGGCCGTAGAGAGGCTGGAAGGCTGTACTGGTGATGAGGTACGAAGTCGTTAGCCAGGCGGCATTGTTGGCTGCACCGAAGTCGGAGCTGATGGCGGCATATGTTGAGGCGGTGATAGTCCCATCGAAGCCAGAGAGAAAGACATTTGCCCATAGAGCTGGTCAAACAGCGGTTAGCTGGGACATTCTTTTTCCTCTTCACCAGCCTTGCGTACCTGTCTCGATCCACCAGAAGCCCGCGGAAGGCCGCCATGAGTCTTCATGGTGGGATTCTGGAAATGTCACATATCCTGGCTTCTGTTGTGTGGTGAGGAGAGATGTTGTCTCATCTGTCTGTTCCATCTCGGGGTCGCCCATGATGGGTTGGTGTTGTTGTTGTTCAGTGTGCATATCTTGTGGGTTAATGGCTTCCAAGTGTGTATTCCGTCTCCTTTAGTCTGGGTCAAAAAACAGCAGGGCCTCAGAGTTTTCACGTATTCACTTACACGCGGTGGCAAAAACTTGGTATTGAGGGGGAGATCAATCAGGCCAGACCTCTCATCTCATACCTTTTCCAGCCCTGGACGATGCGCTGCTACCCCCCAAATTCGGCATGCCGTAGCGCTGCACCCACCCCTCCCATGTTTCCTGCAGCAGCAAGCGGGCAGCATCAGAGACACTGCTTTTGCGAGCCGATCCGGCACCGGCGAGCATGTCACGATCTGTTCAAAACTTGTTTCTCTTCGTCCCTCTTTTGAGAGCGTATATCCGCCATTTCTGCGATTTCTTTTTATGCTGGATATCGCCAGACGTATTTCTTTCATTCATCTCATCTTCCCCAACCCATCAAGGTGCTCCTTTCCGGTCTTGCTCCTGCGCTTAGCGGCAGAGACGCACCCAAGACAAGTGCGGGGAACGCCGTCGACCTCACCTTATCAGCGAGTACCGCATGCTACCTGGTAGATGCAGAATCTCTTTCCAGACCTCACCCACCACCACTCATTGGTCCAGAAATGGTCCGGAATATCCTGTCATCTCTTCATTGGCGAATTCCAGGCTTGCTGTGCTTCCGGATGGTTCCCCCCTTTTCTGTTTGATTCGTTCAATGAAGGTGTCGCAGGCAGGCAATCGTCATGTGTCGATCTTGATGAAACTGCATCTCGATTATACAACTACTGTCGATTGTTTTTTTAATATCCTTCTTGTTTCCTTATCTCGAGACTTGGACGCACGACACTCTTTGTTTGATAACAATGCGCATTGGCTTCCCTTGGCTTGTCGCTTGACCCCGATCTTGAATGCAACGGTCCGGTGCCGATGAGGCCCGGAATGCGGGGGTCAACGGGTCGAGGACCAAACACTTGACAGGCATCATTGCCTAAATCACGGATAGTTTCCTTTCTGCACTATCAGATGTGATGAAAAGGCTCCATATCGTCCGTCTGGAGAGGGAATCCACTGCGGGAAGAGTGCAGTGAAGATGGAGTCTGTCCTGTATGTTGTGAGAAGATAGTGTATGGTCATGCAAGTGAGAGGACGAAGCTGCACCGGGCGAGATACGCGCCCAGCCGCATTCTGCTTTGAGATTTGGTGTCCAATCATGACCGGCGGCGTTACCTAAGGACGCTTCTTGTTGGGGGTTAGCTCCTCTCACGTGCCACCCCTGAAGGTTCCCTCTGGCCTCTTCCGCTGCGGGGCGACGTGGGCGGATGGACCCTGATGAACAGCATTGGTCTGTGTGTAGGGTCTCGGCCTTGGAAGACGTTTGATTGTTTGTGGAGGAGAGAGACTAATACTGCAGGATATGAGGCTGAGAAAGTTGGTTCCGAGAAGGGGAAGCCGAATAACCAAGCGAGAAGGATATGACGGCACAGATGGTGAGGAGTGTGGGTGAGGAGCTAGATATGATCAGATATTACTTGGGGAGAATAAGAGAAGTACTGTCTTTGCGCCCAGGTCATTCTTGAGGGTATTCAGTGGCTTGGTGGATATACAATCTACAGCTTTCGCCCTCTTCGTCGTATATCCTAGATAACGCATCTCAACAACCAAGTCTATCCTCTTGTTACTAAACCTTGCCATTGAAGCCTTGAAGTTGAGAATCAAATATCAATGTTGATCCCTATAGTTGTTTAGGTGCCCTCTTGAGGGCACCAAAAAAAACGCCACCCTCGCTCGGGGCTTTGCAAGCCTCCCCTCACTAAGCTTAGTTTTTTGTTTTGGTGCAGTGCGCAGGGCCACTGCTGAAGCGTTGTATCTTGCGTGCCCAGGGTTTCCTTGTGTTTTATTTTTGTTTTCTACTCTCATTATAGTTGTTTAGACCTTTTACGAACTTGACATACAGGCTACCTGGCTGGTCCTCCAGCATGTCAAGAGACCAAAGAGTCGGTTTTCCTGGTTTTCCTGTGGCCCCTGACCGTGTAGAAGGAATCCAGAGGCTGTTTTCCGCGTTGTCGACTGTTATTGGGCAGGCTTCTAGGTATGCCATCTTGGTGGGTTGGGACAATGTTCCTGTGTCTTCCTAGCGAAAGACTGTCCTTTGCCTAGGAAGCTTCATTATACTACTTCATATATACGTGTGCCGCTAGTCCCAAGACTCCATAGAGCATTCCAACCGCACCCGTCCAGACCTCTTCTTCTAATGGTGCCGCGTGTAGCTGTCGTAGGCAATACTGTCCCGAGGATTCTCGTGGTAAAGTACCCACTCGACCCTGTAAGATAGATTTCCGAGTTGATAGTGGAAAGCTTGCTCGGTTTGATGAGAAGTGTTAGACAGACCCAATCCTGTTATTTCTTCGTACGCACATCCTTGTCCACTAAGAGCCCGATCCGAGTTTGGTCAAGCGAAGTCAGGAATTTGTTGGTGACAACATACGCTGTTCCCCTTTTGACAGCTTTCTTGAACAACGAGATGCCGTCCTTGTTCTCCTCGGCACTTGCATATGCTGAAATAAGGGATTTGCAGTACAGCTCCGCTTGTACCGTCAGTTCATATTCGCGTTCCGCAGTTTCACTGCAGCAATGAACCTTATAAGTGCGCCATAAACCGACCAGTCCCCTAGTTTCCCATCTCTGGTTGCCTACTTCGCGGTCGACATTTCGCATTTGGTTAAGCCAGGCTGGAGCCCATGCAGGATATGTCGCCCTTGGTGGGTCATGGTATAGAACCATTTTCACCGACTCGTGTCTTCGGGCCTCGTAAATCTTTCTCAACCCGTCATCGAGCGATAGGCCGTGCTCCCATTCGGGTCTGATCACCGGAAAGAGAGCACGGGCGTTGTTAATAATGTCGCCGGCCTCCCTTTTTGTACACCCGACAACGATATCTGCAACTCGCACGGGAATGTTGCCATGTCGCTGTAGATGTAGAAAAGCCTGGGCCAGTGTGAACAACCCATCTCTTGCTTTGAGGCAAATGAATACATCGGTGAACCAAACCGATCCCTCACGGGTTAAAACAATCACATCTCCAGCGAGCTTGATTTCCTGATAGGTCCAGACGCGTGTTAACCATCCTGTTCATTCCAGTTAGTGCTCTTTACTAGGACTAATTCTAATTCTTATATGGAGACAACTTACTGCCGAAGCCAAGGACTACGCCGAGATTGGCGGGATCGTTTGACCACAGTCGCAGAGCTAAAGCATCAACGATGACCACCTGCTTCGCCTGGCGGTAGATATTCGCCATAGCATTGATAAGTCTGGATTTCATCTCGGCCTCCGCGTGATCCAGCTGATGTCCGGTGCCCGGAATAGCCAAGCTGTCAATCCACAACCACTCGATGTCGGTGTGTGCCAGCTTGTCAAACAACTGTACCACCAAGCTCCGGTGAAGCCCTCCGTTTGTTTCATCTGATCCAAGCCCTTCTGCCCAGACATGAGACAACGCTGCATAACCACCTGGAGGCACAATCCGGAAGTCGCCGTCCTTGTTAACGCATAGGGCGCCCAGCGTGTCGGCTGACTCCTGGATCTGTTTCCACCTTGGTTTAACAAAGTCTGATGAATTGAAATGGACTCTTCCATGTCCTATCCTGCTCGGCAAGGATGGAACAACCTCGAAAGACTTTAGTCTGCGAAACCGAATGTCATCCACCGTGGCATCAACGAGCCCCAGAGTCTGGTTCAACTCCTGTACGTTCCAAAATCGCAGTTCATGCTCTGTGAGTTGTCTCGCAACAGAATACTCGAATCCGGCTTGGAGAAGGCACTTCAAAACTTCCGGATGATGGGACGCATCGGGTTCGATCAGTTTTGATTTCTGGAATCGAGGGAGTTTGGCATCCCCTAGTTCGTCACTGTAGTCTGATTCATATCCACTCGTCTCAAAAGACTCAGTCGTATAAAAAAACTATCCTTTTCTCGCCGTCAATGGTGATTGCAAGTTGGGAGACATGGGTGGCATATATAGATAATCCATTGTACAACTTGAAAGAATAAACGAGCGCGAAGAGTAAAAGTTTCAGAAATAACCTACCAAAAGGAGGCTCAAGGACTTTTGAAGAAAATCAACCGTTCAGTAGATTGACAAACCAAAGTCGGGCAATTTAACAGATTTTAGGGCGCAGTACGCCACGTCTTAGTGTAGGGCGGTGGCCTAGTAAAGTCACTGCCGGCGAAAAGTGAGGCCAAAAGGCAGGGAAATTGATTGACAAAAGTGATAATACAGTGTTGTTGTTGGTTGTCCAGAGTAAAAGTAAACAGTAAGAAAACCAACCTTAAGAGCAAACCCAGGTGTGAATCTGGTGAAAAGGCGGGCCTTTGTTGGCTCCCTACACTTAGCGACCATTGTGACGCTAGAAGGGATTGGGTACGGCGAAGGGACAGGCGCGGGTGGTGGCCTCGACAGTGACCACGTCGGCGCTTAAGTGCAACTTCCATGCTGGTATTACATGGTCTGAAGCCTGGAATCATCAGAATATCCAAGTACCTACTTGGCATTGTCGCTTGCTCGGGTAGTAGTCGTAAGGCTGTACACAACGTGCAGTCATGAGCAAACGTCAAATGTGGGGCCAACCGAGATGATTGGCTTTCCAGACGTGGAAATGAGGGGATAAAGCTGAAGTTGCTTCTCGGCGCATGCCCTCCGCCACAGTCTTCCTGGAGCTGAAAAGGCAACCACCTTGCTGTCGTCTGCAACCGTTAGGAATTCTCTCAGACTGAATATCCCAGGCGAGATGACGAAAGCACTTGTAACTGGACCTCATGGTCCGCCAGATATCAGCTACAACCTCGACTACGACAATTACCTTGCTAGAACCCAGCGTCGATTGCAGACCGAAAAACTACCAAAAGACCTGCCGAGTGGCTTTCCACAGCAAGTTCAGAATGATCTTCTCTGGGATGGGAAAGACCTTGCTGAGAAGTACGACTGGAACTACACCTTGACGACCGATGACCTGACCGAGATCGAATCAGCTCTCCGGCATTTCAAAGCTCAGAACCTGGGACTCGGATTCATCAACCAAGACACCTTCCCGCTTCCCAATCTCCACAAGACTCTACGAGACATCTCCAAGGAGATACACATGGGCCACGGGTTCAAAGTGATCCGCGGTGTTCCTGTGGCGAGCCACACTCGAGAAGAAAACATCATCATGTACGCCGGGATCTCCTGTCACATTGCACCTGTCCGTGGTCGACAATCCTTTCTGGATACCGGAGTTGATGTTGCTCTGGCCCACGTGAAAGACATGACCTCAGTGGTAGATGGCAGCAAGATCGGAGCTCCAGCCTACACCAATGTTAAACAAGCCTTTCATACAGATATTGGTGACGTTGTTGCATTGCTTTGCCTCGCTGAGGGTGTTGGAGGAGGGGAGAGCTACTTGTCGAGCAGCTGGAAGGTGTACAATGAGCTGGCTGCCACTCGGCCCGATCTTATCCACACGCTGTCAGAATACTGGGCAGCGGATACGTGAGTTTGCGCTCTTCTAACTCCTTGTTTCATGGAGCTAATGTCCTCCAGATTCGGCAAGATAGACATCCCTTACTGGCATGCTCCGTTACTTTACCACGAGCCGGCCAAAGATACCACCCCAGAACGTGTGATTCTCCATTATTCACGACGAACCTTTACCGGCTACTTGGGCCTCCCTCGCTCAGCCAACATCCCACCCCTCACCGAAGCACAAGCCGAGGCTTTGGATGCGCTGCACTTCACAGCGGAGAAGTATGCTCTCTCTCTTGACTTTCGCCAGGGAGACATCCAGTACATCAACAATTTCGGCTTGTTTCACGGCCGTGCAAGCTTTCAGGATTCTAAAGAGAAACAGTAAGTTGATCTTTTGACCGAGGATTCACAATGATGCTAACAAACACAGACGTCATCTGATTCGGATCTGGCTCCGTGATCCAGAGTATGCTTGGGAGATACCTGAACCTCTGAGGAACAAGTGGGATAGGGTGTACAAGGACGTCAGGCCTGAAAATACCGTCTTTCCTCTTGAGCCACCGATCGCGACCGGCAGTGATAGTAATCCAGGTGGGAAGGGTCTGGTGGCAAAAGGGTGGCATAGACTTGTCCAAGCAAGTCAGCGCATGTTGTTTCCCTCGTGAGGCCTTTGGCAACAGAGGCATCAACTTTCGGCATCAAAGCCACAACAGCAGGTCATCAGTCGCTTTAGTATGGGTAGGATCAAGAATGGAAGTGGGTATCACGAAAGATCACATCTTTGGCAAGCATAATGACGAGCGGTGGAAGATGAATGCCTAATCTGGCAGGTAGTACCAGCCGCCGACCCGGGGTGCAAAAGTCACAGCTGGTTGGGCATCCAATATCAGCACAATTGGCACCGCTCACTGTCCATGATGACCCCCACCAAAGAGCAACCCATAGCAGGCGCTTCAGACCAAGACGGTACCATGCGCACGCAAGATGGCGGAAGAGGCGCTGGCAAGCTTTTTAGTCGATGAATATCAGCCACCATAGGTATGCAGGTTGCAACTACAGACCAGATTCTACAAGATACTGTTCAGCTCTCTGATATCCTCGTCCTACCATGCTGCATTTTTCCCACCCCGCTTCCTCCCGTCAGATATAGGGTCCCCAGGTTTTATCCTACCACTGAAATGCGAGCTCACCCGATGGCGTTATCCTCGCCAACAATGAGCGACAGCCATCCAGACAGCTCCCCAAAATTGCAATCGCAATTCTCCTGCCCGTATTGGCAGGCAAAGTCCTGTCGGTTTTGCTCGGCGAAAAAAAACTGTCAGGTTCTGGACGGATGATCTGCCGTCCAACTACCATGGCCAGAGAGCCAAGGCCGGGAAAACCGCAACAGAAGCTCGCACTGCAACGGGTACCATCCAAGTCGGGAGATAATACCACGACACAAACAAGGGACCGATAAGGAAAGTCGCACGAAGGAAGTTATCACTGGTCGACGCAACGTTCGAGAACACAAGCTGCAATACAAAGTGATGCCATGAGCCAGGTATCTGACGCTCGCCTGCACGTGTGAAGAATGCGGAATGTCTCACCAAGCTGCTCGACTGGAACAGTCCACCACTTAAGGTTGCTCCATCCCCATCTAAATGAACTGCAGTACGACGTGGATTGTCTCACGAGCAGACGGGTAGATAAAGTCGTGCTTCCACGGCACGTCATCTCTTCTCGACTCCCCGCTTCTTGACTTTTTGTTGTTGACACTGCAGATTTGGGTCGAAGTTGCAAGCAAACAAGAGTAACAGCGCATTGTCGGGCAGAAGACTATGTCTTTCAACTGGCGTCGACCCTTTCGGTCGCGGGACGACAACGATGAGCCAACGACACAGGATGCGCCGGCACTGACCCGAGTCAACAGCGCCGAGGTGTCAGACGGTAGCCTCAAATACACGCTGGAGAAAGGAGGCAATGACTCCCAGCCGTCATACCAGGAGGCCACAGGAGCCCCAGTGGAGAGTCGCTCGCCGCTGGGGTACTCTGTCGGTCCAATCACCATCATCTTCCTCAATGTCAGCAAGATGATTGGGACTGGTGTTTACTCTACCCGTTAGTAGCCCCTAGCCGCCGGTTTTGGAGAGACACTGACAGCAGACAGCCTCCGCCATTCTTAGAGGGACTGGCTCAGTCGGGCTGAGCATGATCTACTGGACCCTCGGCTTCTTCACCTCCATCTCCACCCTCTCCGTCCTCCTCGAATTCGCCTCCTACTTCCCCAACCGCTCCGGCAGCGAAGTCGTCTACCTCGAGCAAGCCTACCCCCGTCCCCGATGGCTCTTCCCAACAGCCTTCGCCTTCCTCAACGTTGTCCTTTCCTTCAGCAGCGGCAACTCCATCGTCTGCGCGCAATACCTCTTCCGCATAAACGGCCACACCCCCTCCCCCTGGGAACTCAAAGGCGTAGCCATCGCCGCGTACACCGTTGCCTTCCTAGCCGTAGTCTTTCACACCAAAGCCTCCTACGCCTTCTCCAACGGAATCGGCATTGTCAAAACCCTCACCCTCATCTTCATCGCCATCACCGGGCTTGTCGTCCTAGGAGGCAACATCTCCTCCATCCCCGACCCCCACTCCAACTTCCGCAACGCATTTGACGGCCTCCCTCCTACCCCTTACGGCCTAAACAACGCCCTCTACCGCATCATTTTCTCCTACACCGGCTTCGACAACGCCTTCAACGTCGTCAACGAGGTAAAAAATCCCATCAAAACCCTCCGCCGCAACACCTTCATCTCCGTCTTCCTCGTCGCCGTCCTCTACAACCTCGCCAACGTAGCTTACTTCGCCTCCGTCCCCCTCCCCGACCTCCGCGCCGCAAAAGAAATCACCGCCTCGTTATTCTTCACCGCAGTCTTTGGCTCCTCAAACGCGGTTCGCGGACTCAACTTCCTCATCGCCCTCTCCTCCTTCGGCAACCTCGTCACCGTCCTCATCGGCTCCTCCCGCATGATCCGCGAGTGCGGTCGCCAGGGCGTGTTGCCGTTTCCTAGATTCTGGGCGACCACACGACCGTTCGGTACACCGATCGGGCCTTACTTTGTGAAGTGGTTCATGACAGTGATCATGATCTTGGCCCCGCCGGCAGGGGACGCGTTCAATTTCGTGGTTGACTTGCAGGTTTACCCTTCTTCGCTGTTTCACATCTTGGTTGGCATAGGACTTTTCATCGTCCGATACAGGAGGAAGAAGCTCGGGTTGGGAAGGGGCGAGTTTAAAGCGTGGACTGTAGTGGTGGTGTTTAATATCCTGGTGTATGCGTATTTGCTTGTGATGCCTTGGTACCCTCCCGAGGGCGGACCATACGCGGGAAATGTGAGCTTTTGGTATGCGACTTATGTTGTTACGGGGACTGGGATGTAAGTTCTCCTCCGTTGCTCTCCTCACTTGATTGACAAACGAAAGGCTGACATGGGCCGGAAAAAGTTTGCTCGGTTGCGGCATCTACTACTACGCCTGGATCTGGCTCCTCCCCAAGTTGAGAGGGTACCGCATCCGGCAGGAGGTTCTGACGCTGGAAGACGGAGCGCAAAGTCACAAGGTGATCAAAGTACCTGTCGAACAACTGGCAGAGTGGGACGCCACTCACGATGCTGTTGGAAGACCGCTCAACAGGACAGACAGCCACTCTGGCGACTCCGAACGCATCGGTGTATCAAGCACAGCAGGAGAAAAGGGCCAAGATGGCAATGTGAGGGATGTAGATCCTGAGAAGTAATTCGTCAGAGCTGTGCGAGCTGCTTGGCGACATGGTGGGGCAACAGATCTGCTAGGCTAAGAGAATATTGTAGGCTAGAATGTAGCAATTGAAGAATTTTACTTATTCTCCCAAGCAATACCTCATCTCATCATCTCCCAACTATGAACCGCACGCGGTTTTCCCGCTCCTCTGATGGTTGGCCTTGGTCGATGCCCCAGCCACCTATGCCATGGACCGGTCAGCAGGTGGAAGCGGGTTCTTCCTGGCAGAGATTGATATGACTGTGCTCTACACCAGAGTGGTTGTCTGTAATTCCCACTTCTCAATCCATCCCACATCCCATTGATCTGCACGAACCCACAGCATTCCCACCCGCTCATACACCTCATCTTCCCTGCCAACAACACGACGAAGAGCCAGACACATGAGTCTCGCGTCGTCCTGTTCATATGCCACAGTGCCATCTTTTTTGAACGGGTTCTCTTTAGAGCTTATTCTAACCAGGAGTGCCAGGTACTCGTTCTTTTGATCAAAACACGCCGGTTGGATTTCCGTTTCTTCAATGGTAGCTTCCACCCAGTCATACTGTCTCCACACAGACAGAATAGCATCATCCCCCACATCATCCACGTCGTGGATATAAAGCAGCGCAGTGGTAACGTCAAGACCTTTCCTTCGGGGACACCCGTCGACCGGCTCATCCCAAGAGCCGTCACCTATGCTGGGTTCGTGGTTGGGGCCGGGGAAGTAAGACTTGGGGAAGACTTGCTCACTTCGGTATAATTTCTTCGTACGGCCCCGCAGGACTAGACGAGCGTCCATGATTTCACCAAAAGGATTGGAGGGGTTCTTTGGCTCAACGTTGGCTTCGACCAACTCCAGATCATATGGACCCTGCCCGTAGTCCGTCGTGTAGCCGTCCCACTGAATTGTATCGTCTGTTACTGCCCAAGACCATGACGGCGCTCGATAAGGTTGGACGTGGCGGGCAATTTGCGTCTCTTCCTTCCAAAGAAGCCCATTCCTAACGTCACTGCTCCAAAGACCGGCGAGATATCTCGCCCCCAGACTGGCGTGAAGTCTTTGTGTGATGCCGGACAGGGCTGGAAGCTTGTCGCTCCCAAATGTGAGGGTCCTGTTTGAGTATTCTCCCACAAGCGAGTAGTACTCCCGGAAGAGGTCTTTTCTTTTCAATGACTTTGCCGAAAGGTCGGAGGCGTTACTGGCGTCGAGCACCGCGGTTATGTCGTCAAAGACCGAGTGAGCTCTCTTGTCCCCTTCAGGCAGGATGCCAGCCTCAGCCGATTCCTGGCCAGCGCGGCATCTCCAGTATATCTGATGTCTTCCGTAGATAAGGTGGCGGCGCGAGAGTAGAAACTCCTGAAATGTCCAGCCTCTTGAGTTCAGAACGCAGGCCATATCTAGCCTCCTCAAATCCTCGCGGTCATTAGGATGCCTCCATTCCAGTTTCAACTTTCTAGCTTCACCCTGTTCCGATAGCATCGTGAGAGGGACCGACATGGGTGGTGGCCCAGCGGTTGGGGCTGGGTTGAGAATTCCTGTGGTACTGCGCTCGGATACAAACGCTGATATTGTAAAGGTAGAGGATCCGTAGATCTGAGCCATCTTTTTCGACTCGACTTCCCAATCCTGTCTGGAATCTTGCATGATGCAGAGTGAGTCAATCCATAGGTACTGTATGCCCAGCTTTCGCGTTATTGTTATTGCGTCTCGGAAGTTTGCCGGGAGGCTGTCGAACGAGAGCGATGTCGTAAACGTATCCAGTGTTTTGGTGGTCAGGACAGGCTCGATTCTCCCGCCCCAGCAGTGGCTCAGCGCTACAAAAGGAGCTTGAGACCCGTGCGAATGGACAACTCTGAGTGTTTCGAAGTCGTTATCTGGAGTCCCTACATCGACTACTCTTGTCGGAAGGGTTGGGACCTTGTTATCCTGGCAGCATCTGTGACATTGCTGACATTCTTGTAACCACGACCGCGCGATCTCAAAGTTCTCCTGTGAGCCAAGATCGCTGTCGAGCTCGGAAATTCCAATCCGTACATTCTTCAGAGTTATTGGCTGATCCGGGGGTACCACCAACCTCAGTGGCATGACAGGTATCTCGTAGTGAAGCTGTATCACATCGTCATTGCCATAGTCGACATTCATGAAACCGCCAACTTGCACAGCAAGAGTGTCCATAATGGTGATTGATGATGAATTATCACGATATGGATACGTGCTGGTGAGAGCGATCTTGACATCCGACTGCTCCAGGCTTTTCGCTTTCTCGTACATCGACATGGTCTCATCCTGGCTGCTGAGCCCGAAGTATTGGTCTTCTTCGACGGGATTTTGTTTGAAGGCGTGGATGATTAGCTGACAAAGGTCGCAGCCGTTTATCGCTGACTGTTCAAGGTCGTTGAAACTCTTGTGATGCTTGTAATATGCTGAAGACGGGAAGTCATGAAAGTCAACCTCCTGTTTCGTCAGTTCAAACAGGTGTTGGATGGAGAGCTCTGTACAAAGTGGACATCGAGTTGACATGATGAGGATGACGTTGGAAGTGCAAGGTGAATTTCCATGTTGCCCAGCAAAAGGTTTCATCAAGTGCTGTTGGTTCGAGCCGGATGAGGGCCAACGGAGACTCACCAGGGCCCGCCCCTCACGTGATTATTACCTGTTGGTCTCACCAACTGGAAGTTTTTTTAAAGCAGTGTTGAGGCCCTTCGTGACCAACATATCATTGGTGAACTAACATGATGATGAAAGAGCTATTGCTTAATGAAAAGCTCAATCCCACCATGAGGTCGGTGAATTCACGGCTTGTTCCGGCCCAAGATCCCAAAGCCTCCCTCTGCATCCTGGTGCCCCAAATCAGAAAGAGCCAAGCGACTTCTGGGACAGGCCGTTGAGATGTTGGTAAGGGTCATCATTGGTCAGGTATTGGAAATAAGCGATCCAAGACCGCACCAAGCATCCACAAATTTGGTGGCGCCCGCGTTAGCCCAGTTCGAGCTGAAAATCCCAGACTGGTCGAGAACCATTTCGCCGTCGGTAGTCGCATGCGAGGTTTCGGGGCTGCCTCACCGTCGTTTTGGCCACTTTTTTTTGTGGTATTTCTGTCGTCCTCCCGCTCGATTTTGGTGCGGAAGGTCGGTTTGTTTTGTTCACGATCCGTCGATTTTTGGCGTCATTTGGCGGCAAACAGAAATGGACATCATCGACAAAGTGAAGGGCTCCACTGACGAGCAGGAGCCCCACCCCGGGAACCCGTTTATTGCCGGCGACCCATCCTCCGACTCGGACCGCGATGAAGACACTCAGGCCAGAGAAGACGCGGACAACGCCCACGATGTCGAGGAGGAAAAGGAGTCAATACTGCCCAAGTTGGGACTGCCGATTGCGCTCCTGGTCGGCGCAGCCATAATGGGAGGGGGGACCTATGCCGTCGTCGCATATGTTCAGAATCTGGTTGCGAACGCTGCGGTGGACAATGATGAGGCCAAATGGATCCGACTGGCGAGGACTGACGCATATGATGGTTGTTACTTGGGTTGCACCAGTTGCGATGACCCCAACTTTGCGTACAACGCATGCCAGCTCACTACCCGTGTTGATGTCAAGGGCGTTATCTGCGATGCGAACAAGATGTGGAATTGGGCTGTCGAGGACCGGTACCCAAAGGAGTGTCTGAAGGCTGTCAGCAAGGTCATCATGGGTGATGCGCTCGAGGACCTGAAGAACCACTATCGCAAGCGGTACGCCATCATCACCGTTGCCATTGTAGGCGGGTTAGCTGTCGGCTTTCTGGTCTACTTTCTCTGGCGCAAGTTCGCCAAGCCAAAAGAGACTCCCAAACCATGGTCGACGTATGACCAAACCCCAGCTCCGTTTTCCATCAAGCGGCCAGCAACATGGAAGCTGCCCAAGAAAGAGAAACCCGAGAAGACAAAGACCGAGCACACCGACAAGATCACGACCACCACCACCCCAACTACATGTGAGCCAACAAACCTGGCCCCCCACGAAGCAGTCGCAGCAGTCCCCATCGTCTCCCACTCCCGCTCCTCCTCTCGTTCATCCTGCTCCTCAAGAGCCTCATCCACCCACAGCGCCCAACGCATCCCTACCCCTCCCACCTTCGACCTCCCCTGCCGCAGTTCCTCCCGGGCCTCCTCCCGCTCCTCATCCTCCGGCCCCCGCCTCTCAACCCTCATCGGCGCAGCCCTCACCATCACCACCTCAGGCGCCTCCGCCTCCATCTGCATCCGCGACCAACCCTGGACCCAACACTTCATCACCTCCTCCCCCTCCCCCACTCAAAAAACCATCACCGGCACCATCCACGGCTGGTTCTCCGAGTGCTACCAAATCCAAAAATGCAAGCAAAAGTGCCGGTGGTCCTGCTCAGGCAGCTCATGCGGAAATAAATGCAGCAAGGAGTGCCACATAGAGGACAGGACGAAAAAGGAGCCAAAGGTGTTTGTCGATGCTGTCGTGCCGATGGTGGCAAAGTGCGGGTTTAAGATGGTGGATACGCTGAGCGGGAGTGAGACGCCGACGGTGAGGGTGGCGAATGGTGGGATTGAGAGGGGGTTGTATGTGAGGATTAGTGTTAGTGGGTATAATGTCACGGATGCGAGGAGGACGGATAGGAGCGTGGAGTGTTTGCATGCTTTGGGGGGTGTTTAGGGAGTGTGATGGTTTGGTTTGGGTTGTTTACTTGGAGTCAGGGGGTGTTCAACGGGGTTTTGACGGCATATAATGGGCGGAGAAATACGTGCGTTATAATGATACCAGAATGTTTTAACTCTTTTTGTGTCTTGGTCAAGCCTCAACTGCAAGGAAACGAGAGAAACGCCGGACATGATGGGAGACTGAAACAAAAAACGAACAGAAACGAAATGCTTGCTGTTGGCAAAAATGCAAAAGATACATGTCCCCTCGACCGGAATCGAGCCGGTGACCTTTCGGTATCAATAAATTCCTTTACAGCCGAACGTGATAGCCAACTACACCACAAGGGGATTTGAATTTGTTATAGGGCAAAGGCGGGTTCAGCACTTGTGTGCCAGTGGAGATATGCGGGAATTATGCGTCATTCGCCGGTGGCTTTCGGGCCGAAAAACCGCGAGGGGTGAGCTGGTCTGTGCTTTGTGCCACCACAATTCTTTGTCTTTTTAACATCTCCAAAGATGACCACAGTTGGGTGAAAAGGAGCAAAAGTGAATGGCTAGGAGTTGGAGAGATCTGATGTCTGGATGACGTGGTTCCGATAACTCGGTTCCTGCAGAAGCGTCTCTTGGCAACTGAAGAATCTTCACACAAACCGCCTTCCAATGTTTTGTGGGCGGACACAGCTCTGGCGAAAACAATGATCGGACGAACCCCACCAACCACTGCCAACCTCAACGTTTCATCGACATTTTCCGCAGGCTGATCTTTTATAAACAACATCTCATCCAATGGACTGTCCCAAGTGAGGCGTTCTTGGGCGGGTTGCTGACGACAACCCCGCCCAATATATTCCCCGAATCCCACAGTCCGTCCCAGATTTTCACCACCACGTTGCCTTGGCCTCTCCCGAAGGCCGAGACAACTTACATCCGGTATCGATAGCAATGGCAGCTTTGAAACGCAGTGGCTTACTGCACGCTGCACCTACCCGGCACTTCCTCCACAAAAATCAGGTACAGCATTGAGCTTGTCAGGCACCTTTCCGCTGGCAGAACCGGGTGGTTCGGGAGATGGGCTGGGATCATCCTCCTTGCCCGGGTTACACTGCCCTCGACCTCTACTGCATGTAGGCACCCAACCACCAATGGCGGTTGTCAATGCACGGCTTTTGCTTGCTGATTTGGCGGCGGCAGATGGTCCATGACGATGGCGAGCTGCATATCAGTGGGTGTCCTTTGTGGGTTCCCAACCTGCACAAGTGGAAGCGGACGGATCCGGTGTTGTTGCCATTCGCCCCGGCAGGACCTGTCGATCCATTGTGTATCCTGGCCTAAACCCCTGATGCTGTAGATCAAAAAGTATGCATGCTTATTCATAACCAATGGGTAAAAGGTGGTCAAGCTGCACCTTTGATAGTTCCCGAGCTCCCACATCACCACCACCGCCTTCTTTCTTTCTGCAGTCCCTCTCTTTTCCCTCGCTATCGTCTCTCCTTCTATTCTCAACACATAATGAAACCCCCAACTATCACCACCACCCCCCTTTCGTTTTTTTACTTGACCCTCTCCCACCCCTCGGCCCGCGACCCCCTGATCCCTCCGAAAGTCGACCTAGGCCCCTACAACCCCTCCCACACCCGCCGTTCGTCCCGCCACCTACGGTTCAGGCATGTTCCCCCAGCTCCTCTCCCACCCCTCCCCCTCCCTCGGCACATTCGGCCAACGATACTGGTACTCAACAGAATGGTACTCCGGCCCAGGCGCCCCAATCATCCTCTTCAACCCCGGCGAACAAGACGCCTCCAACTTTAACGAAGCCTACCTCTCCAACCAGCGGTTGCCAGGCCGCATAGCACAAGCCGTCGGGGGTGCCGTCGTGGTGGTGGAACATCGCTATTACGGGGAGTCCTCCCCCTTTGAAGAGCTAACAGAGGAGAACCTGCGGCATTTGACGCTGGAGAATGCGCTGAGGGATATGCAGTATTTTGCGAGGGAGTGGGATGTCCTGAAAGAGGCCGGGAATGGGACGGGGAAAGGGGGGCCGGCGTGGGTTTATACTGGGGGGAGTTATGCGGGGAGTTTGGCGACTTGGCTGAGTAGATTGGAGGAGAAAGAAGGGGAGGAGGGGAAGGGGAGGGCGTTTTTTGCTTATTATGGGAGTAGTGCTGTTGTGAAGGCTATTGGGGATTTTTGGCAGTATTTTGTTCCGGTTTTGGAGGCTATGCCGAAGAATTGTACGAGGGATGTGGAGAGGGTGGTGGTGTTTGCGGATGAGGTTTTGGGGGGTGGGACGGAGGAGGAGAAGGAGGGACTGAAGGAAAAGTTTGGGTTGGGGGGGTTGGAGGATGAGGATTTTGCTGCGTGAGTTTCTTGTTGCTATCTGGGTTGGTTGGATGGGATGGTGTGCTAACAGAAGACAGGGAGTTGACTTGGGGATTGGCGTCGTTGCAGACGACGCAGTTTTACTCGGAGAAGAATATAGGGTACTCGCCGTTTTATCGGTTTTGCGATTATGTCGAGGGGCTGTACCCAGTGGAGCCCAATGCAACCGTTCCTGGAGAGGACGGGGTTGGGCTTGAGAAGGCGTTGGAGGGGTATGCGAGGTACATCAAGGAGGATGTCGTTCCTGGTTGTGTGTCTCCCATTTCCTCTGGACGTCGCATTGAAGCTAACAATATCTCTAGTCTGTGCCAAGTCCGGCTACCCTGAATGGCAAGATGGAAACAGCACCCTCTGCCTCCAAAACATGAACGCTTCCTCTCTGGCCTTCACCGACTTGTCAGTAAAGAACTGGGGAAACAGACAATGGTGGTGGCTTCTCTGCAACGAACCGTTTGAGTGGTGGCAAAGCGCACCGCCACTGTCATCGTCCTACCCAAGAGTCATCTCCGAGTACGTGACAGCAGAGTACTGGGCTTCCCTGTGCCCGCGATTCTTTCCAAACACGACCTATACCTTGGCGGAAGGCAAGACAGCGGGCGATGTCAACGTCAGAACAGGTGGCTGGAATTTGACGTCAAACGTGACGAGAACGATGAATACAAATGGGCAGTATGATCCATGGAGGGATGCGACGCTGAGCAGCACGTTCCGACCTGGTGGTCCAGTGACCGAAATGGAAAAGGATGGGCTGCAGGTGAGGTTGGTGAAAGGGGGGACTCACTGCAGCGACTTGGTTGGGCTGAACTGGGAAGCGAATGCCGAGCTGGATGGGTTAGTGGATGGGGTTGTTGACCAGCTGGCATGGTGGATAGGGCAATATCACAGTGATGCCTACGACAGAATCAGAAACACGACGCGGAAATAAGAAGGTGGTACTCAACAGTGATGAAGTTATGAAGTTGATGACGAGCGTTTGTTCAAAGACATGGAAGTTTGCAAAGCCATATTTTTCAAAAAGATGGCAAAAATAAATCAGATCATAGGACTCTCCCACCGGGAATTGAACCCGGGTCTCGAGCGTTGTTGGGTGACAAGCTCACATACTGACCACTATACTATGGAAGACTGAGCAGATGTTAGCACCTGCTATAGGCTGTTGCTGCAGTTTTGCACGGAACAAGCTATTATAATGTTTGTGTCAACTTCGCTGTGTTTCGTTTAGTAAACCCCCTGGTCCTGGCCTGTAAGCTATCGTTCCGAGTCATGACGCTCTAGAACCTCCACCATTTCAGCGTACGATCCTCGAGACTGTCTACCAGAGGCCCAATAGGACAAGACTCGAGAAAGCTCTTATACTTGTGCGCCGTGTCGATCCACTCGTATCTATTGATCTTATCCCTGGCGTCAAAGACGCGGTACCTCTTTCCTGGTTGGCGGCAGACGAATAGATTGTGCAATGCCCAACCGTTTCGACCGTGAGCGAAATCCCCGAATGCCACAACTTCCAGAGAAGAGATGCCCCGTGGTCCGAATATCCAATCTAGATGCCTAGCGAAAGAAGGCAGGACCATTTTTCAAGTTCGTCAGGGGGCACGACAGCCAAGTATTTGTCAAACCTAAACGTGGAGCGAATCCTAGAGCTGGAACCGATACCTGATGTCTTTTGGGGATATTCAAGTGCCCGTGATCCTCTAGCTTTGAGGTGGGACCCAGTTTGCCTAAAATGCAAGATTTTGAGAGTGGACTTCAAGGCGAAAGGGCCCAGTATCTCTTTCTGCATAGATGATGAAAAATGTTAGATCAGAGGTAATCAACGACAGGAATTACTAGCAGTCTACTCACTAATGACTCAAAATGCTCGTTTGTATCATACGGAAAGCCGAGACACTCAAGATCAAGCAGTGACATGGGATGGAAAGTAGGAGAGATCTTCCACCTGTCTCTCTCTGACTCTGGGATGTCAAAATGACAGCCATCATGAACTGGGTCGGCCCTTCTTGAGCGATAACCTGGCCCTGGGCGATCTCCGCGTTGGTGCACGACCAGTTTTTTCAAGGTGGCATGATGGTGGGCAATAGCATCCCATAAAGGAATCATTGTTGATGGATCAGGCCTAGTTGGGGATGGAAGACTGCACGGTATGACGGCCTTGGTGAACCCGAGAAACAGCTCTTTCAATCCTCGGAAAGATGACAGAAACCGGATGATTTGTTCTTCTTGGTTTTCTTCATCATCGTCCTCGTGTGATTGAATTTCGAACTGCTCAAGACACAATGGAGTTGTTGTGGCCACGGATCATTCTAGAAGTCGTTCCCACAAGTGGCAATTGCGTATCGTAACAGTCTTTACCGTCGTGATATCAATGGCCTCTTTCATCTGTCCGCCAAGGGAGACATTGTTTAGTGATAGGACCGTTAACACTGGGAACAGAGGTCGTGTCTCTGGAAGGACCCGACTGAAAGGTGTCAAAGTGGTATCAGGCCAATCCCACGGCGTGTCAAGGTTGCCATGATCAGGGTCGACATCCATGTCATCCTCCGTGACACAGGGGTATGCCAATGTGACGTCCAGCTCGGTGAGATGCTCTCGGTTCCTCTTCAGACACTCTCCCAATGAGCCAAGCAAGACATTGGGGGGCTGGTGCCAGCTGATGTGGGTCAGATGACGAAAAGCTATTGGGATTTCTTTGTGTGAATCCAAGCACCCCCCATCTGTGATGAGCCGGAGAGACCTCAGTTGGGGTTGCCTAGCATGTAGGGTATCCAGAACACTGCTGGAGATACATGTAGCAAGGTCCCAGCTGAAGCCATCTAATTGACCGGCAGGGATGCGCTCAAGGACAGAGTCCGCCATTTGACAAAGACGAGAAAGATCATCAACTGGCAGTGGGTCTCTTCCAACAAGAGCTCCGTCAATCACCCCCTTTTTTTGTCCAGTCGAGTCTGCTCCGTCATGAGGTTGGACGTGCAAGCAAGGCACATTGGGTATCTTTTCGGGTTCCACTTCATTTGCTTCCTCTCCAATCTCTTCTTCAGGTTTTGTGTCCACATGCAATGCTTGCCACGCTGACCATCGCAAATCCCGACTAAAGGTGAGGTGTTTGGCGTTGCGCAACGCGGGAGTGGCACTTTGGAGAGCCGATGCGCACTGAGCAACGCGGTCGATGTCCAAGATGCATCGCTTACGCTTAACGCGAGGTATATCGATGCGGATCGATTTCCAGAGTTTCGGTGCACATACTGAGTGGAACAACTTAGACACACTGGACAACGATTTGATGTCTTCCAATAAGAGGCATCTAATTATGTCATGCAGAAGTTCCACGGGGAGGTGGCCGAGCATGATGATTTCAGATGCGATGGCGGCGATATGAGGAGAAGTGAGAAGTACCTCAGGTAGGTAGGTAGGGAAGCAAACCGTGAGCGGGGAGAAATGGCTCTTATAGGCTTGTCGATGTTGTTGGTCCCACTGATTATGATAGCGAATCCCCTTAACCAATCAAGTTTGAAGTGGCCGACCTCAAGGCAACTCGTGCCTCGACCACCAACACGCCCCACATATCGCGAGATTTGAAGTTGGAAACTGGGAATTGACGTTCAGAAGGTCTTCGGCGTGTCTTTTGTCCATCTTACAAACGAAACATAAGCAGTGCAATGGATACTCTTAAAAGTACAAGCCAATGATGATCCTCGATGTTTGTCTCATGCATGTACCCGTAAAAAAATGAGTCACTGAATCCGTTTGCACAGCCGGCAAGTGCATTACTATTTACCCCGTACAAGCTGTAGAGTTAAGAAAGTTTCCACACTGCATCGGCCTACTATTAATCCCCCAAATATCTCGAGACCTACCACAGTACAAATACAATATGTCCGAACCCTCAGAGCCAACCCCAGTTCAAGCCTGGGACAGCATTGCATCTTTTTGGGATGAAGCCATCACCCCTGGAGGCAACAAATACTTCCACCGTCTCCAGGCTCCCTGCCTTCACCGCTTTCTTGCTAAGCATCTTCACCGTGATGCGAGATGCTTAGACTTAGCGACTGGTAATGGAGTGGTTGCCCGCTGGATGCTTGATCGAGGAGCGGGCTGGGTCCTGGCGACAGATGCCAGCGGCGAAATGCTGGAAATCGCTAAGCACAACTTTGCCTCCGGAGGGTGTGATCCCAAGAGGTTTACATGCCACAGAACCGACGTTACTTCAGAGCAGGACATGGGAGCCCTCGAAGAATTTCATTGGCACGGAAGACTCTTTGATGTCATTGTCATAAACATGGCTCTCATGGATATCGAAAGACTGGATGTTCTCGCAGCTGCCCTGCCCCGACTTCTTGATCCTGGTGGAGTGTATGTAATGCATTCGTGCTGGAACCTGCCGTTCTTCTTGAACTAATGCCTCTCCATAGATTCGTCGCCACTGTTCTTCATCCCGTCTTTTTCACCTCCAACGCAACCAAGTCGATCTCCATCTCATTCGACCCCGCCACCGGTGAGCAAGTGACGACGCGGTCAAAAGTCATCACAGAGTATCTCGATGTTGCACCGGCAAAAGGAATTGCTTGCCCGAGTCAGCCAGTCAAACAGACGTACTACCATCGCCCCATTCATGAGCTTCTGTCTACCTTTCTCAAGGATGGGAAGCTTGTCATGGATGCAATCGAAGAGCCAGCTTTTACCGAGGATGATTGTGATGAGAGGAGAGTAGAGTCGAGCACAAACTTTACGCAGCTTCCAGCTCTACTGGCTTTTAGACTGAAGCATCGAGTTGACAAATTTGAGTAGGGGGACTGATCTAGGGGTGACTAGCCGGACGCAAAGCAAAATACACGGGGGCGATAACACATTGTTGGAGGGTCAATTGTGAAAATAGTTATTTCAAGTGACCCTCAAAAAACAATGTCATACACTCTCTGGGCTTTCAGGGGTTGCAGAACCATTAACCTCGAATGTAATGGAAGTTGGATGTCTCGTAGACGAACTTGGTCTGATATAACCCTAACCCGGTGGATAGCCCTCATACCCTTCATACCCTGAGACGACTGACCCAACAAGAATTTTCCGCAGACCAAACGACACTCATTCTGGACAGGTAATATGTCTTTGTGGAGGAAACAATTCATAGCAGATTGGTTTTGACCTGACCCAAACACTTCAAGTTCCCTTTCCACCAGAAACCGCATCCCAGAGTCTGCAAAAGCTTTTGTGGCTCTCCCAAGTTCACATGCCAAGCCACCCACCCACAGACATTTGTCCTTGCAGCCAAGCCCCACTTTGACTCGTCACTGGTGATCCTCTTCTGCATGGTGTTGAAGCCTGACTCGCGCCAGCCCAACCAACGCTCAACGTCCCCACAAAGCTGCGCCTCTTTGACACATGAAAGCAAATCCCTCACCCAGTCTCCATCAAAGCAGTCCGGTATAGTGTAACGGTTAACATATCGCGTTTTCACCGCGAAGCTCGGGGTTCGATTCCCCGTACCGGAGTCGATTACGTTCCAACCATCGGATGATGGTGGCAGCATTTTTGCTCCATCCAGGGTGTTGCTCCGAGTCTGGAGAGGTATTTTGTTGGCTGTCTGGGCAACGGGCTGATTTTTGACATTGTCTGGCCATTTTTCTTTAGTGTAGAGACTTGGGCAGAACAGACGAGACTGTCTGGATCTGGCTCCGAGACAGAATTTCAGAATATTCAGAGCAGGTACTTACTTTATGCTATGACTTCCCTTGGATATTTCTGCAGCGCTCTATAAGAGCAGCCTTTTGAACACATACTTCAGAGACTCTGCCAGGGATAGAATACCTACCTAGGATATCCTTGGGCGAGGTTCAAGAAGCGTTTGTTGATAGGTTTCAGACCTTTTCGTGTCCCACTCACACTGGAAAGGCACAAGACTCGCTTTCGGTTAGCAAACAGTCTGAGTCTACAAAGGCTTCCTCATGTCAAGACAGCACGGAGATACGCGTATTTCGGACGGAAGGATATCATGAAGACGGATTTGTCGTCAGAACGCCGAGGTCGGAGAGCCTGGCTCATTGCCTACATCGCGAACAGCCTCTCGAACTCATCGTAATCCAGGGGCAGTTTCCAGTCATCTTGAACATTCTTCGACTAACAGATACCGCAAGACCCGAGCATACGGTGAAGAAGCACTGGAGCTTCTACCTTGGTCAAGCATTTCCATTCTCAAACGACCAAAGCTAACGAGACCATACCCCGTCATTGTAGTGTTTCTACATCAGTTCCCATACCCAGTGCCTCTTCAAAGCATCTCGGTGTAAAGCTAACCCTCGGTCTCAACATCACCGGTCTTAGTTGCCTCATTCGCTCGCCTACAACGGTGCATATAAGGACTTATCACTGTGGGTCCGGACGACAGGAAGTGTGATTCAGAGGTTCTGGACGCATAGAAGCACTCAACAGTGCAGAAAGCCCACTCTTCAAGTACCGTGAGATGGAACAGCCACGTGCTGCGCTCCAACTGTCAAGCTCTCCCACTGTAACAGTAGTATTGCTGGACTGTCTCATCATCTGGTGAGATCTTGGTTGTTGTCTTGAGTCCCAAACTTGGTTTTCACTGGAACAGACATTCCAAAGGCGCAAATGCAGAATCCTACGATGGCACCTGCTCTCAGCTCAAGGCTGAGGGAGATGCAACAGCTTTGCGCTGAGACTGAGGAATACGATGTCACCATCATACTCCACGTAGGAAATGTCCGATGAACTCTCCGTCGGCCCACGAAGCGAAACCATATCAATATAACGTCAGTGGAGCTCTCACCAACAGCGGACACCCTCTCCGCTCTGGGATGGGAATACCTTCTTCTCTTCCGCCGGTTTTCGAAGACCAAAACGTCGAAATCCGTGCCCTCTGCACCGGCTTGACCCACTTCAACCTGCTCGATATCCCGTCTTGAGACCCGAGGCACGGGGTAAATTAACCGTAGATGAAACCAAGCACTTCCATCTCCGCACGGGCAATCTATCATTCCCGGGTATACCAAACATCATCCCAATCAGAGCGCAGGGGCAAGACAGGGGCCACCTGACGACCCAAGTGTAAAAAAGTCTCAACCTCTTGTTGCGCGGGTTAGCAAGCGCCCCAATCTTTCCCTGACGCTTGTAGTCGGGCCTGGTCCTTGCTCAGAGGGCCTCAGATGTATAAAACCTTCCCTTCATCCATACGAGAGATAGATGACAGACGTATATCGATCAGCTGCTGTGGTTGGCGTTCATGGCAATAACGTTGCGTCCGGGGGATTGGAATGCACCATTACGCTTGTACCCCACGACGAACTACCGGTTATTGGGGCGTTCCAGAAACCAGAACCATAATGAACCGTTTTAAGCGGATTCCCCGGGCTGATGAAGACTTGCGCAGGAGAACCTTCCACGCAGATTGACAGGTCTCTTCGGTTGCATCAAGCCACGCAAGACTCTGGGCATGAGTTTTGGGAGGGTGATAAGAAGGCTGATCTCCTGGCTTTGTTAGCACCGATTCATTACGATCATGTACTCAAACAGGCACCGCAGAGCTTCAAGATGCAACTCTCCAACCTCCTCACCATTGCCCTCGCCGGGTTGGCTGCTGCCTCCCCTGTTGAGCTGGTCGAGCGTCAGCAAAAGCTTCGCATCAGTGCGTGGACCCCCCTTTTACCCTTATTTTCCCCCTCCCTTGTTGACTAACGAAAACAGTGCCTCTTGGTGACTCCATCACCGAAATCGCCTGCTGGCGCGCCTTCGTCTGGGATCAGATCGCTGCGGCCGGCTTCGCCAACCAGGTCCAATACGTTGGTTCTCAGAACTCCAACCCTCAGGGCTGCCGTCCTACGACCACGAACTGGGATCAGCGCCACGAGGGTCATTCCGGCTGGCTCGCGATTGATATCGCCAACAACTACCTCGCCAACTGGCTCCGGAGCACACCGGCCGATATCGTCCAGTTCATGCTTGGCACCAACGATGTGTTCAGGGGGAGAAGCACCAATGATATCATTGCTGCCTACACCAAGATGGTTCAGATCATGAGGGCGGCGAACCCTAAGATGAAGATCATTGTATGTTTGACGCTGAAGTTTTGAGAAAAGGGAAAACTAACAGCATAGGTCGATCTTGTCATCCCGCTCGGCGTTGGTTCCAACTCGGGTATCCAGGCCCTCAACGCCCGCATCCCCGCCTGGGCTGCTGGCCTCAACACCACCGAGAGCCCCATCGTCATTGCTGACTGCAACACCGGCTACAAGACTTCCGACCTGCGTGATGGTGTCCACCCTAGCATTGCTGGTGATCAGTTCCTCGCCACCAAGATTGGACCGCCTCTTCTCAACTATATCAGAGAGTCGCTGGCTGGTAACTAGGCCACTCGCGGCGAATAAAGGGACGATGAGTACATAGGACTGATAGGCACGTAAATACCAGCAACAATGAAGGATCCACCTTGAGACTGTTTAAGCCACGGAAGTCTCGCGCTGTAGTATCGATGTCAAGAACTGACTGCCTCGCTTTTGGTTGAGTAATGACCCCTGACACACCCCATCAAACCTCCTGTCTTGGTCCCACCGGTTGCCTTCCTACCAATCCAAAAAATACGCAATCCCATCCAACAACGCACTCCCCCCCACAGCAGCATGATCCATCCCCGCATACTCCTTCACCGCCACATCCCTCATCCTCCCGCTCCCCACAAGCCGATCAAACAGCTCATGACTATACCTCCCCGGCCCAAACCTCTGCAAAAGATTCTTCCTCGCCTGAAACTGGGACTCCGTCTGCGTCCTCCTCCTCAGCGGGTAATCCTCCAACTCGCCATATCCGATAAAGACCGCTGGCTTGGTCTGGTTCTGCCCAAACTCAATGTCACCAGGGATGTCCATCCCGTCTCCCAACCTCCGCGTGACATTCATTAGGACCGTCTGGTTCATCAACGTGAGTGATGGACTGGCGGCGATAAATGTATCGAATAAGTCGGGTTTCGTGATCAAGGCGTAGGTAACGAAGAGACCCCCGCTTGAATGGCCGTATATAGCGTCCCGAGTGAAGTTGACGTTGGGGAAGATGGTGTCCTGCACCCAGGGGCGGAGGGTGAGGTTGATGAAGTCGATGAAGGTGTCTGCACCCCAGGGAACGGGGTCGCCGGGGATGGGGGCGCCGAAGTCGATGCTGCGTTGGGTGAGGGCGTAGACGTTGTCTGTGAGTGGGTAACCAATACCGACGACCAAAGCATCGGGTTGGGAGGGGTCGACGGGTTTGCGGCGTTTGAGGTGGTCGGCTGCTGTTGAGGCTAGGGCGTTGCCGTCTGTGACGTAGACTGTCAAGGCGGTTTTGTTGGTTATTTCTGCTGTGGGGAGAGAGGAAGGGCCCCATTCGAAGGGGTAGGAGAGGGAGATTTGGTAGGTTACGTTGGAGGAGGGAGAGGAGGTGGCGTTGTAGAAGAGGGTGTTGGGGAGGAAGGCTGGGGGGAGGGGCGGGAAGGGGGTGAATGTCCAGGGGGCAGTGGCCATTGTGGTGTGTTTGATGTCTAGTTTGTCTCTAAGTGAATTTAACAGTTGGATTGGATGGCGAATTGATAGATAGCCTGCTCACGATGTGTTCAGGGCTTGAGGCAAGCATTATGGAATGAAGAAGTGAGATCCAATTCCTGCGTGCATGGCGGGGTGCTCGGACTCGGTTCAATATCCCCGCGGTACGTCCCAACTTGTAATAGTCTCGGCAAATATCAGTCCGAGTAGCGCCATCAACAACAGGTCACAAGTTCAGCTCGAGGGAATTAATTGTAGGTATGATGGGTTAGGTGTATGACACAAGACACGGCCAGTATCCCGAACAGCAGTTCAACAGTTCGCTGACATGAACCTGAGTTATGGAGCTAGCTACCTTACCTTAGTCAATTGTATAGCTCTTGTGCTACCTAGTAACTTGTAGCTCGATGCTACCCCCTCACTTTAGCGCCTTCATGCTATTTACCACGTGACATTTATGGAAGTTCCAGCTTCATCTTGTTGGTTCGAATTCTTCATGGAGGTGGTCCTGTTCCTGAATCTTAATCCATTCTCCCTTTAGGCATGCTCCCACGGTCACCCACCTGCTCGAACAAAGACGAAAATACGATGCTTCGAGACTGAGGCACCCTAATATTAGTTTCGTCCTGCAACAATAATGAGGCTCATTGACACTACAACGTTGAAGTTACGCGAGTTCACGGCGTACACCACTTCCGACTATCCAAAGTATGCAGTGCTCTCTCATACATGGGGCGCCGAAGAGGTCACCTTCCAGGACATGATGACGGAACCTCTACCTTCTGAAAAGAGAGGATTTGCAAAGATCAAAGCGACTTGTGAGCTTGCCCGGATTGACGGTGTGAACTTTGCCTGGGTCGATACCTGCTGCATCGATAAGTCTAGCAGTGCCGAGCTTACCGAAGCGATAAACTCCATGTATGCCTGGTATCGGGCTTCAGAAACGTGCTACGCATTCTTGGAAGATCTGGAGTCAACGACCGAAATCAGCGCAAGTTCAGACTTTGCAAAATGCCGCTGGTTTACGCGCGGTTGGACCCTTCAAGAGCTCATCGCCCCAACAGAGCTCAAGTTTTACGATAAGAATTGGGTCTATCGGGGGTCCAAACACGATCTTGCAGTCACACTCAAGGCGATTACACGCATACCAATCGGAATTTTAAAGCGTGAGCAGGAGCTCACCACAAAGTCTGTGGCACAGCGGATGTCGTGGGCGGCCTTCAGGGAGACAACGCGCATAGAAGATGAGGCGTACTGTCTGCTTGGCATATTCGGCATTCACATGCCTCTCATTTATGGAGAGGGCTTCCAGGCTTTCCAAAGGCTCCAGCAGGAAATTGTCAAATCTATTGGTGATATGACCATTTTGGCATGGGGCTCTGTCCAGGGCGGCCAAGGCTCTTCAGAGGGCCTCCAGGGTCTTTTTGCACCCTCCCCAGATGCGTTTTGGATCCCCGGTGTCATCAATTGCCTCCCAAGTCTTCCCGATATAACCATAACCACAAGAGGTCTCAGGGTGTCGCGAAACACTTGGATGCCTCTCTGGATTCATGGAGCAACCTACTATTTGATTGTGGGTGCTTTCAGTCCCTGGACTGAACGTGTCAGCACCATGCAGTCTTCATCGGTCTCAGCTCTTCGACTGTCAAAGATAGGGCCGGGAATCTTTCTGAGAACAGGGCTGGATACCGAGGTCCCTGTAGACGCTCTATATGCTCAGCATCATCAGTCCGAGTACTATCTTCTTACAGATATTCCCAGTCAGATAAACGACATTTACGTTGGATACCGGAAGCATTCACTCCACGTCGAAGTCAACAAGACGTTCCACGTGGAAGATGCAGTTCCCCATTCGCTGTGGGATGACGCAGACAAGATCTTTCTCCGAGAAAGCGCCTGGCAACCACATGCCCGCATTCATTACAATGTGGTTCTTGGTGTGAGATTCAAAGGGATCGGCGACTTCAGTGCCATTGAAGTGGTTGTACTCCTTGACTTATCCTCGCATCTAGCGAGCCTTATTATCTTCCAAGCCTCGCAGGCACCCAGGCTCGTTTCAAAGCTCTTCGGCCCAATGTCGAAAGAGCATTCGATGATGCTGGCTGACTTGGAGCATCTGAATGATTCTGAAACCAGCTTGGAAAGCTTTGTAACTGTATCCACTGACAGGGGACCCGCGAGGATCACACCGGTACTTACTGAAACGGAAGATGTGTTTCTATCGTCTGAAGAGGAAGGCAGTGCCATTCCAGTAGCCAACCTCCAGCTTCAAATTTGGGACATTGGTGACAGCGCAGATTCCCAGCTGGTGACCGGCGAGAAGTGATGGTATATGAGAGACCAACGAGTGAATGAAGACGGGAGTGCTTAGGAGAAATATCGCTGGATGATTTGGCCCGTTCCCATTATACGTAGGCTTCAACTAAGTTCTCATCAGGATCTTGGTCAGTATACTGATCTAATCTTCAAACTACCTGTAAGTATATGAAATTTCTACAGAAAGATAGACTTTAGAGATAAATACCTACTTGACCCTGATTGTCTCATTTTTGCTCCATCCAGAAGATGAAAGCACCTGGGCTGTTCCAACAGCATATCCTGCGACTCGTAGCCCTCCGTTTCTCTCTTGTCCTACCAACATAAAGAGGTTATTCTCAGGATCAGACCAAGTAGGATAGCTTCCGTTGAGATAGTTCTTCTTTTCTCCAAGGTGAACCGCGTATGGTGGCAACGATGATCCACCTTGCACGTCGATTATGTCCCATTGTTGATGTCTATGATCCCGTATACTGTGAGCCCCCGTGCCCGTGGTGTTTTCAGATCCCCCAGAAGCAGACACAATCACAGAGGCAACTGGTGCTGTGACATTGACATAGCCGTCTTCATCGACAAAACCGGTCGGGGCACCCTGTAACCACCAAAGCAACCCATTCTCCATGGCATCTTCATCCCCCAAATGCGCCTCAACACCTTCCCCAAGCTCCAGAATATTTGGTGCAGTTGAGAAAACCTTACCTGGAGGCAGGCTTGGAATCACTCCAAGCCACTCAGCCCGGCCACCTCGAGCCAAAATCTCTCTCATGAGAGCGAGTGCTGCCTTTAGCCTGTCATCGTGTCCAAATTCCCTTGCGTCCAAAGACACTCCAAACATGCCCATAATACTGAGAATCATATCCACAGGCCGATACGCAACACGCATCATGGCCGCCCGCCAAATCGCCGAGGCCATCCCCTCCTTCCCCTTCAGATCCAGCGCCCCAATCAGCGCATTCCTCTGCACCCTGTCCCCGGGCCGTTTATCCCCCACTATCAAGTTCATTTCCAACTTCTGTTTCTTTTCCTGCGTGGGATCATCTTCCGATTTCGTAACCAGATAAGTCGCCCTAGAAGACGCCGCCAACAAAGACACCAGCTCCGTCATTCCCGCCCCTGACTCGTCACCCTCCACTTGTTCAACATGCAAGTAGAACAGCGACTCTAGATAACAAGTGCCATGGGTCCATGAAAATAACACCTTGCAACGGGGCGGTGCGATAGCTTCTTGGAGAGTCCATGCGCGGGAGACCCAGTTGGTTTCTTCCTCAAGGGCGACAAGTCGTGACAAACCTCCAGGGAGGATAAGACAGACGTGGCAGTGCTCATAGATGGAGAACATTCTCTGGATCTGCCAAGCCTTGTCGTCTTCGTCCCCTTGCTTGATGCAGAGGCCGTCGAGCCAGAGGAGGGGGCATTCAAGCTGGAGGGCGGCGCGGCAGGCGGTGCGGAGGGCGGGGAGGGAGATGGGGTCGGCGTTGAAGGCGGATTTGATGGTCATTGTTGGGGGTGGGTTGGCGGTGGGGTTTAAGGGGGGGACGCCTTTCCAGACGTAGGAGATGGCGGCGTAGCGGTTTTTGGGCAGGATGTCTGTTTCGACTACTCGGAGATAACTGCCGTTGGCGAAGGGTTTGGCGTCGATGAACCGGTACCGAGCTGCGGGTACTTGGTCGAGGGAAATGGGGGCCGTGGAAAGGGACTCGAAGGGAAGCTTCAGGACGCATGGCATGGAGTGAAGATCGTCGGCCTGTCCACCAGCTGGTTTTTCGGGGTTCTCCATAATATCAAAGTAAAACGATGAGGTGTTTGAGGTAGAGAATACAAACCTCTGACACTGTCAGATTCGCGAGAGGTGTTGGGCCGTGATGCGATGTGAGTGGCTCCCGTCCTGCCTCTGACCAGCCACCTTGCCTCGATGACTACGATGATATCCCCAGACCTTTGTGAGGCGTAGGACCATTCGATCCTTTCACATACGACCCATATCCAGCTGAAAAACTCGGGAGCAAAAAGGTGGTATGAAATATATTCGTAACTACGGTCGTTGATCTGATCGCCCTGATTGCTGGAGGTACCAAGTGGATAGGACTGATAATAAATCAACCTTACGTCGGGCACTGGCATGTGATAGCCGTGGCTCGGTGTCTGCCTGAGTGTTGGTGAGATGTGTTCGAAAGCGGCACTGAGACTTGATTGCGGTCGCAGGTTTGGTTTGGAATATACCGAGTCCCACGGCGTTAGATGCTTGCAGGCTCACGGACGAGATCAAATCGTAAAATGAGTTTGGAATTGAAAGAGGCCTGATGGCGATAGTCCCTGTATCAGCTCGTGACTGACCCCTCATCCCCTGCCAAGATCTCTGGTCGACATTTCGCTTCAGCGCCTGCCACTACAGAAAATTCGTAAATCCGTCGGAGCTGCATCTCACTCCTCGTACATTACTTAATGCGCCCAATCCCCGCAATCCAAAAAAAAAAACTGTGGCTCAAGCTTCCCCATCACATCGTAATCTTGACCGACTCCGCCACAGACGCAATGAACACCCTCAGCCCGCACCCTTCGTATATGCTCCAGGATGAGTTTTTCTGCATACGTCAAGTTCAGGATCAGGCGCTCACGACAGGTTTCGTTCCATTGACAACTCTATCCATGAAGTCAAGCAGGGACTCGAGGGCCTCACGGTCGAAGTGAGGGCACAATTCGCCAAGATCGACGTACAATTTGCCAACATCGACGCACAATTCAAGGAGGTCAGGATCGAGTCGCAGCACATGGCTGCTCGCTTCCATAACAGCACCCTGAAGAACCCTGCCATGAGAATTGTACCTGTTTTTATACTTGACAGTTTCAGAGAAATCGCCAGCCCTGACTCCAAGAACTTCCCTCGGAACGCCAAAGAGTTTTACAGCATGTGCGATAACCCGAACGAGCGTCTCACCAGGATGTTGCATTACCTTGTTGGCTTCTACGACGTCCAGTTGGACCACCAGGAGCTGTCACATTCCGACTCGGAAGCCATCGATGACGTCTCCCCTGGACAGAGAGTCGAAACGACATGGGTAGCAGTGGAGATGCTAGAAAGCATCCTCGGTCTCAACGAGGAAAACTTTATCAAGTTCAAGGAAAGGGCAGCTGCCCTCGTGCACCGCTCTCCCCAGCCACCCATCAAGCGCCCGAATCCACCGTCCACAAGCATCGACGAAGGCAAGCAGAAACTTGCCTCTCGACCATCCCAACGAGCGCCCACGAAGCCCAAGAGCTTCGGTTCCGGCGAGGAAGATCAGATCTTCGGGGAGAACAGTCATCGGAAACCTCTTCCTCACAGCAAAGAATGCCTCCCGCGTTAAAGGACTTCCGCTCGCTGGACTCGAAAGAGGACCCATCGAAAGCCCAACAAATACATTTTCAACGCCAGAGAGGCGGTAGTGCTCTATCTAATCAATTACATGGAACCTCCTAAAGCCGCTGAAGCCCACCTTGACAGAGCTGGTGATTTTGATCGCACGTGCTGGTGGAAGAGGCTTAACATGGTTTGACAATTCTCGCCATTGCAAAGACACAGAGGAGTGACAGCGTGCCAAGTCCCGTGTTTGATGAGCCGACATCGGAGATATCCCCGAAACGGGCCACCGCGCGACCGTACGTATTTGCGGACTGTGTGCAAGGGTTAGGGGTTTAGGTGTGACTCAGTCACCAACTGGTATTTCACGCATTTCTCTCTGTAATATTATACCTAAATACTTGTCCCGTACAGACGTATCCCATACTGTGCCTTTCCCGACCACGTTCGAGAAGAGTTGGGTGACGACAGCGGCGACGAGAGCCCTCGCAGTCCTTGTTAATCACGTCTCGTCGCAAGACATGGAGATAGCTAACCTAGGACAGAGTTTTGTGGGATTTGTCAAGCAGTGCCAGCTAGTGCCACGTATGCCTTTCCAGCGCAATGTGTCTGAACAACCAGTCAAGAAGCATGTATTAGCAATATACCTAGTATCACTTCAAGAACCTCGAGTACTAGTTAGTCTTGCCAGTGTGCTTCTTATCTTCGAACGAGTACCATCGCTGTGACCGACGCCATCGACTCGGATACCTTGCGCGAGTTCCGGCACTTAACAAGTTTACCTCGTGATGGATGATGTCCGGAACTGCGGTGCGGGACTAGTGTCTTCTAATTCTATGGGCATTTACCAGCTTCCTTTCTGCTAGCTACCCAACACCGCCCTTACCGCGCAGCCACGTAAGACACGAGTTCTGTCAGAGAATCCCGCCAATAGGTCTTGGAGCTCCAGAGTATATGACCTCCCTCTCGCTCCTCTTCCCTTTCCTTTCCCCTTATCCTTCATTCTTTTCTCCCCTCTGATGCCTGACGAATCAACCACCGGACCAGTGACTTCGGCATTCTCCACCCGCGCAACTAAAAGTCACAACCGGACTCGCTGTTCGACGCTACCTGGTATAAAATGGCCATCACCTATGTGCGACCGGACGACCGTCTCCATCTGCAAAGCATCGCGAGCCTATTTAGTGCCGCATCTAAGATTGTGACTGTCACAGGAGCTGGCATCAGCACAAATACAAGTATTCCTGCAAGTATCCCCGCTTCTCTTCCTACCCACCTCTCTCCAGACTTAGGATTTCCGATCAAAAAATGGCATTTATTCCCTCAAAAATCGCCGCCTCTTTCATTCTTCAGTTCTGTCTGATCCAAAAAAGCGGCCTATCTTCTATAGAGACATCACCAAGATACGTCAGGCCGTTAAGGACGCCAGGCCAACAAAAGCACATTGCTTCATCCTTAGTTTACGTAATGCTAGTAAGCTGGTTCGGGGCTATACCCAAGCATCCCAATCTTGATTCCCTTTCACGGAAGAACGTACATCCACCTCATCATAGGTAGCTGAACCTCCAGCATGGGCACTTCCATCCTACACCTATTTCAAGATACAGGTATCCGTCCGCAATCCCCCATCGTCAACTACATTCGCTCCGGCTCTCACCAAGTACACGGAACCTCATGAAACGAGTCCAAAAAACAAGGCTTCATGGCAGCCGTGCAGTGTCCTCCTCCAAGCTCTGTCGTACAAGTCCGAGTTAGTACAGTCCCAAACAAAGGTAAAGAAGAGAAATGAAGTCAGAACGAGGTGTTTACCAAGAGCCTTGAAAAGACCAAGCCTCTGGCTTGAATCACACGGGATAAATCCGCAGAAGTGGAAGAAGAGAGAAACTGCATACCTCGCGCGCCCCGCTGTTTGATACACCTCTTCGGCCGGTTGCTAGCAAGAAAATGACCGCGGCCACCCGCCCAGTCAATGCAAAGCTCATAAATCCCCGGCACTCCAGTAGCGTCGTTGTATAAGCACCCTCCCCGGGCATCAATCCTGTGCAGCCCAAAGTCGGTATACCAGAGGCCCACGCGTTCCGGGCAGTCGATCCCTGAGCCGGGAGGGCATTTGGAGTAGACGGACATGCCGTCGGCGGTCACAGTGGTGATCAAGCCGGCGAGGATGGCGGTTAGGCTGGGGAAATGCATTGTTGTTGCTTGTTTTTGGTGAGTCCTAGCGGTGGCAAGCAACGTGGAGGAAAAGGTCGATGGAGATGCGTGAGGAAGGGGACGGTTGAGGTTAGATGGATGATGGAAAATGAGGGGGATGGAAGGGATAGAGGACGGTATTTATCAACAGTTAGGCCTGTCAAGGGTCCGATTGGCAAACGACTGAGAGGATGAAGCTGGTGATGGGCTGCATGGCTATCAGTATGAAAATTCACAAAGGTTGAAACGTTGGTGGATGAGGCTACCGCAAATAGAACCAATATTCGTGACATAATAGATATTGCCGAGGAGTGAGGTTTACGTATGCCTTGGACCCAGGCAGCAGCGGTGAAGACTCCTCCGTGGCGGAGTTAACCAGAACATTGTTTGATTGTTGTTAGGTTTAACCCATGTTGCCTAGGAAATTTATTAGATGTTTGATTGCTTAGTGCACTTCATTACTGAGGCTACAAGGTTGCCGAGCATGGGTTACCGGATTGGGGACCCAAGACTACTACATGATAGTGCTGTTGATAGAAACAGACCCTTCGGATATAGATTTAATCATAGCAAATCTCTACAGTTGTGTTGGTAAGCCGCATGAAAAGTCTTGAAGACCCATCATCGCGATTGACTAGCCCCAACAAGTCAGCTTGACTAAATTCACGATACTTCAAGCCCACATCACTGGAGCCTGTGATGTCACTTTACTCGACGAGGGAAGGTACCCTGCTTGGGAACTTTCTATCATTGTTTGCAACCAACAATCTACTAGCGACCAGGTGGATATACAAATATTTTATCCGAGTGGTGAATCATTCTCCAATTCCATCAAGGTACGCAGTGATGGCGGTCTGACGCGTTATCACTGACCCCGGCATCTACCAGCATCGTGATATTGGATTGACAGCACGCATTACCATTCCCAATCCGTGTATGGGGACGTGACCCCAAGAAGACACCATATGGACAGCAGGAGATCCCAGACTATAAATCTCCATGCTTCCCTTGTTCCAAGTCAAACACCACTCCACCCACATCGCCCTATCCTGCTATCATCTCCATCTCAACCTCAACCGCACAACCTTGTCACCCCTTATCCAAGTAAGTCCACTCCGAGCCGAGTTCTCAGCCTGAAATCCCTATGAAACAAACGCCTAACCCCCAATCTCCAGCGTATCTATCATGCGCCTCAGCACTCCCTTAGCAGCGGCAGCAACTCTGCTCCAATCCGCCACCCTCGCCTCAGCTGAAGCCTGGACCTTGTTCTCGTTCATCGACATGGAGCCCTTTCAACCGAACTGGGACGGCGGCCTCTGGCACACAGACTTTGGCTCCCACAACTTCAAGATTGAGAACGAAGATGGCTGCTGGAAGAACGTCGGCGTGCCCTCCATCGCTGAGGTTTGCGTCGACATTGTGCGCACCAGAGCCCACTTCATCGTCAGCGGGACTGGCCGGAGGCGGTGCATGTTTCTTGACCGCGGCAAGCGCGGCTCCAAATCTGCTTTGAAATGCTTCCGCGATACCTACGACCATTCCTGCTTTATCGAGCTGTGGGAGGAGGTGGACTGCACGTGGTAGATTTTGGAAGTGCTGTTTTGGTAGGGTAGAAGGATTGGAAATTGTGATTGCCCACCCAGTTCAGGGAGGATGGGATGGGACGGTGGGAAGAATACCCAAGATGTCTTTCATAGTGAGAGAAATACAACCTCAACCTGACTTATCTCCGCTGTTACCAGTACAGTGAGAAAGATGAAAATATTTCTTTTTAGACGGCCATCTGACCCAGGGTACCTATAACGAATGACTGTCGAATAGAAAAGCTGATGGTCAACATGACCTATTGGACGGTTACAAACGCCACCGTTGCCAATAGTTGGGAATGTTGGTGAACGATATTGATAGAACGGTTTCCGGAACCAACGCAATCCCCTTAACCTCTTCCACTGACCATCAACAGGCACTTCCTTGCCCCTGGCACGGATAGATTTCCGTTACACATGAGCCTTGATCTCGGCGTTGCTGTTCTCAATCTCAATGCTGTTGCCCGCCACACGGTTGCCGAAGCAGCCTCCCTTGTGGCAACACTTCCAAGAGCTGATCGAGTCGTTGAAGTTGCCGTTTCCATCGTTGAGCTTCTGATCCTCCTGGGTGTCGTAGCTGCTTCCCTGGCAGTCCCGATTCCTAAATCACAGAGTTAGAATTCTGTCTGAAAGGCTTTCGAAAGGTGACGAGCTGCTTACAGGTACCATCCGCATTTCAAGGCATTCTTGTTGTTGTTCTTGATGGCACTAATCTTGTTGTCCCAGTTGGAGGGGAAGTTGATTTCATGGTGTGCGGTTAGTTTGGTGTTTAGTCCCAGTAGGTAGCTATTGCAGCCAATGATATGTCAATGAGATAAAATGGAACACTCACAACAGTTGTTGGGAGTAAACTCAAAGGTGTGGCAGGGGACACCCCACTTGATGTGCTCACAGGCATAGACGGAGGCATCCTCTCGGCGAGAGATTCCGCTGTGCTCTGAGACAGGCACATTTGCTGTGGGGGCAGCCATAGCGGAGAAACCTCCCAAAGCGAGGAGGGTGATAAAGGTCTTGAGTTGGAACATCTTGATTGTTGAGATTGAGGATTGGTTCACTGGAGTAGCTTGGGGTTTTTGACTTGAGACTTGATGATGTGTTTGAGTGAAAGAAAATGAGTCGACATGTTTCCTCCCTTTATACACTTCTTCTCGTCCCTTTTCCAGGCGCATCAACTCACCGAACTGGAATTTGAAACAGGAACATAGCAAGGCCCAAAGCATGAGCAGATAACGCTTACCAGATGCATCACTAAACTCCCTGGCTGCTGATACATGGACTCGAGGAACTTTGACGATGTCGGATTAAGCCAGCGGACTAAGCCAGCGGACGTATACTGACAGGGTCCAGAATCCTTTCAGTTGCCACCCCTTCATCGCTTTATCACAGACTCCGAGTTCAAGTTGTTGACGGATTTCGCATTGGCTATATGACGGGATTTATTTCACAAAGATGCCCCCTCAAAGTCTGATGAGGTTTTAGGCAAGGCAACTCGAACATTAGCTAGAAACATAATGACGTTTCTACTGTATCTAGTAGGTGAACCAACACTTCAGTTGGGATTTGACCTGCTACCCACCCAAGAAATCCAAGAATGCTATGGCGAAATCAAAGACACCAGCGTCCCAAGCTACATCATCATGAGCCTCATCAATCGGCCTGCAACTGTGATAGGTTGTTGACTGTAACATATCTGACGACAATGACTAAGACTCTTGGTAAGTTGAAGCGCAGTGTTTTGCCCCCGACCATCACGCCAGTGCTGGAACAAAACATTCACCTCGCTTACATCATTCTCCTGGCATGGAAGGTGACAGGCTTGTTTATTCCTCCAATGTAGCGCTAGGCATGCTACACTGCAGAACAAGACGGGATGCCACCGGTGCTATCACTCGCCCTATTGTAGTATTTACCAGGTGGCTGGATGATATCAGCTCAAAATTGTGTTGTTGAATGAACAATCTGCATCCGAGTCTGTTATTACATTGGAGATAGATGTATTCATGACAGACAAAGAACATGTCGCCACACCACCTGACAAAATCGCCCTCTGACTCAGAAGAATTACACACAGTACATACAGTTCACCATTGACATTTTACTTGGGTACCTTGCACAAGTTAAAGCACAGAGTTTATATTTCTGTAAAGAAAAAAGGTACAGATTATTACTCCCGTCACCAACCCTCATACCACTATTATCCCCACGTCATCACCCCCACTCCCCATCAGTTTCCCTTAACAACCCCGTTGGCTACCTGAAGCTTACCTAAAACATTAAAAATAAAACTCACTTCCCCTCCCTCTCCCGCTCCCTCTCCCGCTCCCTCTCCCTCTCCTTCTTCCTCTCCCTCTCCCTCTTCCTCTCCCTCTCCCTCTTCCTCTCCTTCACCCTCTCAACCTTCTCCAGCGAAATCCCCATAATCCAAAGCCCCATCTTTGTGGAAAGGCTGTTATTCTTGTCCTTCTTCTCCTTTTTGGAGGATTTAGCATGGACGGTGGATGAAGATGATGCAGCCTGGTGATCAGGGCTGAAGTTGGGGGTTTTGTGGGAGTTGTCGTGGGTTGGGCAAGTATTTTGGTGGTGGTGGGAGGGAGAAGAAGAAGAAGAAGAAGAAGAAGCCTTAGCGGGCTGTTTTCCCTTCTCCTTGTTTTTGGAGGAGATGGTGGGGTTGGTGAAGTGGGAGTCCATTTTGGTTTGTTGTTGTGGGTTGTGCATTTGTTTGTACGAATGGAAGGGGTGTAGTTTGTTGTGAGTGTTTAGTTGATGGTGACGAGTAATGCGGATGAAGGATGGGAGAGACTCGAAGGGGTCAAGTTGTTTAAATAATGGTTGACTGGGGAGTTTATTCAGAGGGCCAGGTGAGAGACTCAGTGCTATAACTTTCGACCACAACAGCTGTGTTGACAGAGCCGCTTGACTGTTGGGCACATCTGTTGGAAGTTGTTTTGTATTGTTATGGCTCATGAACTTGGAAACAAGCTGCCAGTCCTCTAGGCCAGAGAACAAATGTTGGGAACAAGGGCCCTGTGATCCATCCACTTTTTTGCGCGACTGAAGAGCAACAATCGTATTGTGCATAGATGATGATAGTTCTCTTTGTCTCACACGTTGGCGGAACCATCACTGGCGGACTGCTGTTGTCTAGCACTCTCCAGAACTTGCGATTTCCTATTGACACATTTTCTTCTGCAAGGCTTGCTGTATAGACAAGACATGCCATCCGAGCAGGCCCTGGTGTACAGGGAAGGCTTGCAGAGTTGACATGCCTTGCAGAATTGAGATGCCTGGCAGAGTTGACAATCCTGGCAGACGTCGCAACTCTTGCCAGGCACGACCATCCTCGTAGCCTTGCAGATTTGGAGACTGGCAACCAAGTGGGACTTGTTTTCTCAGTTAGGGCCGGAAGTAGAAACATGCTACACTCTTGGATCAGTAGAGGAGAGCGATCCTTGGTATTCACTTGATTCATTCAAACACTATGTGCCTAATCGTTCAAAACGCTAGCCAAATCGCCATGCACGCTCGATAATGTACTTCATTAATAGTTGCAGATACCTCCAACATCATCGTCAATAGTCCAAGTACCTGCCAAACCAGGCATCTCCACCTCCTCAGTGACAGTATGAGACATCAGCAACCCAGCCCCCTCCTCGGGTTTTCCAGCAAAGAAGTCGTTCTGACCCGGGCCTTTGTGCACTCTGCTCATGAACCGCTTGGTCCATTCCTCAATAGCAGGTTCACCCGTCTCATCCCTGGCCTGCTTGAGGAAAGAGATGAGTGCTGTGCCGCCAGTTCCCTTGAGAGCACTCTTCTTCCCGTCATCAGCAGCTTTTTGAGCAGTGGCAGCAGCACCACGGGCATCGTAAGCAATCCCCTGAGGCTGCTGGCGAGAAGCAGTAGCGAGGTTGACCTTGCGACGGGCGACCTCGGGACTCCGACTGCGGCTCCGGGCGCGAACTTCCCGGCTGGGCAGGACAATATACCGCGTGACAATAGCAATGTGCTTGTCGCGGAGAGCGCGCAACATGGACAAACAGGCGTCGTAGGCAACTGAGAGAGGTTTGTTGTCCTTGTTCTGCTCGACATATTCGCGAATGTTGGCAACACCTTGAACATCCTGGAGGAATCTAGCATGGGGTCCGGGCATATACTGACGCATCTCCATGATGAAGTTGTGCTTGGGCGCAGGGGCGTGACCTTCACGTCCGCGCTCCTTGGTCGGCTTCTCACCAGTGGGGCGATGGGTGATGCCCAAGACGATGTCGAAGAATTGGATCAGACTGCTCTGGGCATTGCTGCCACCGGCATATTGGCGGTAGGTCTCGGTTCCAGTTCCGTCCTCGTAGATAACGCCGTTGGGCAAACCGGCTTCGCCCATGTTCTTGCTGCCGGCCAAAAAGGGACGGATGCGGTTGTAAAAGATGTTGGGGTCGCAGCTCTCATGCATGCGGACCAACAGGGTGGTCAGATCATCCAGACGCTCAGCAAACGTGCTCAGGCAGCTGGTGACGGCCTTTGCATCGTCCTCCCGGGCAGCAGCGATAGCCCTCAGCATCAGGGGGACGATGGGTGCACCACGGGCTTCCATGGCGACAGAGACAAGGTAAAACCAGGACTCGTCGATGCCACCGGTGAAAGTGCACAAGCTGGCGAGGTTCTCGAGATTGTCGATATCCTCGTCCATGAAAAGGGGCTTGAAGTTCCAGAGACAGACAGCTGCGTAGGTGGCAACGGGCGGCACCTCGAGGTGTTCAGACACCTTCAACAGCGGGACTGAAATGGAAGGCGGCAGACGGTCACTGGGACTATCACCGCCCCAGATGTAGCCGTGGGCCATAAAGGAGAGCAGCACGTAGGCTCTGCGCCATTCTGCGTCGTGTTCCAGACCGATGGTGGAGAGCACTGGGAGCCGGTCGATGACCCCGCGCAGCCGCTTGCTGAGAATGAGGGCCTGCAGGTTCGCCGCGATGGCCTCCCATTTGTTGTAGTAGGGATCCGGAAGCCTCGTCAACGGCAGGACGTCCGGGAGGAAGCCGTGGGTTGGAGAGATTCCATAGTTGGCCAGGTCCGGGATGGGCGCCAACATAACGGCGGGAATGTGTTTTTCGTTAAAAAGAGTAAAGGTAAAGTTGAGAGTCGAAGTGATAATCGCTTCAGTCGAAACAGTCCTGACGCAAGGAGTATACAGAATTGTCTCTGTAATACTCCTCAGCCGTGCGAAAACTCGGTTGAGGCGTGGGCATATGTTAAGAGTTAAGACGTTTGAAGTGTTCGGACCAGAAGACTTGTGGGACGAGATGGGACGGGATAGTCAAGTAATAGATAGAAAAGAGTCAGAGTCGAGGTCAAGTGGTTGCTGAGTCGTAAGACAACTTGCGAGGGAGGCGCTGTCTTTTGTAAGCAGCACTTCCAATGAGCGAAAAGTTTGCCCCTCTTGAAAAAGTTATTATGGGACGGTGCCAAGACGTCAAACACTGCGCCGTTGGCATCTCGGATCAAATCATGGCAAGACAATGGCCAGGCACAGTGGAGACTTGAAGGAAAATATCGCAACCTGGAGCCTCAAAGGGCGCGCCCTTTTGCCCTGGGCAATCGAGACGCCGTGTGCCTCTCTTCCAGGCTCATGTTGGAACTGCGCCGACCCCGGCCCCTCCTTTGCCCCCCGACCTGCCGTCACTTCACTATGCCGGTCTGTTCCGTCAGACGTGGGATGTGGGACGAGGGTGGCATTTGAATGACAGATGAGCCGAGGAAAGGAATGGAAGGACCTTTTTCTTCAAGAAGAAACCTGGAAGTCAGCAGAGCACTGAAGTATGCGGCTGCAATCGATCAAGATGCACAAAAAGATCTTGTCTTACCCCGCCATTAGCCGAGGACCGTGCACACCCGGGCCTCAAGCTCGGGCCAACTGGTGTTTGAGAGTCTTCGAAAAAGTGCCAAGGCTGAAATGCCAAGACAAATTGGTGCCCTGTCTCGTCATCCGAATGCCAAGGCTACCGCTGTCCCACAGCACGCCCCAGCCTGGTTCTGGCGGCACCTCAACGGCCGCAACGACGACGCTGACGACAACAACAGGGCCCCGGGTTTATGCGCCGATAACTACAAACACCTGCTTCTTCGAGGACGCCAACATGGCAGTCCAGCAGCATGTCCTGAACTGGCTGTACAGTGTCTTGACAAGTGTATGTTCCAATTGCTACCTCGATATCGCGATAGAGCC